ACCATATTGGCCAGGCTGGTCTTGAACTCCTGACCTCAGGTGATCCACCCACCTCGGCCTCCCAAAGTGCTGGGATTACAGGTGTGAGCCACCGCGCCTGGCCTAGACTGTTCTTATAATCAAACTTACTGTGAGACTGTTGTGCTATATTATTTCCCCTTTGAAGATGGATTTTATCAACTCCATATATTCTCCAAACTAGATGGGTTGTAATTTAAGATGTAAAACTGTAAGCTAGTCTCAGGCAGTTATTGATCCATGTTTCTTACCGGTTAAGAACTTCATGGTCTTGGTACATGCCTTGCTCCCCTCTCTCATCTTCATTCTTGACTGTTTACTGAAAGTGATCTAGATCTAGTGTGTGCTAGACATTTACCTTTTATATCTTAAAATGAGTAATCTACCAAACTAACATCCCCCCAATGAGAAGGAGACAACAGGTATGGCAACTAAAACAAATGCCATTTTTGATTTTTTGTTTATAACTAAGATTAATACCAAATAGAAAACTACCTGAAGGGTTTGTCATAGTCATTTGTGCTCAGGAATATAATATTGTATATGTTGAAATTATTACTTTGGGGACCAAAAATGCTTTTTTATTTCTCATATTGAGCTTTTTCTTTAGTTTAATGAAATTCAGGAGATGTTTGCTCTACTTCGCTTTTTGTTGTAAAACAATTTGTCATTTATTCTTAGACATTGTGGTGTCTTATACAGTTATACAGTAATGTACCTAAGGTTTGTCCATGTCTAATTAAGAACTACAAATCTACCCAACCTATTCCTGAAAAACCAAGATAGAGACTGGACATGGTGGCACATGCCTGTAATTGCAGCGCTTTGGGAGGCTGAGGCGGGCAGATCAGTTGTGGTCAGGAGTTCGAGACCAGCCTGGCCAACTTGGTGAAACCCTGACTCTATTGAAAATACAAAAATTAGCCAGGTGTGGTGGCACACACCTATAATCCCAGCTACTCGGGAGGCTGAGGCAAGACAATCATTTGAACCCGGGAGGCGGAGGTTGCAGTGAACTGAGATCGTGCCACTGCACTCCAGTCTGGGTGACAAAGTGAGACTCCGTCTCAAAAGCAAAACAAAACAAAACAAAAATAAGATAGAAATATTTTATATCTTAAATAATTATACCTTCATGTTTGGGTAAGCACCTTTTTCATGATTTTAAGTTATTTTCCCTTAGGTTTTTTTTTTTTTTTTGAGACAGAATTCACTCTTGTTGCCCAGGCCCGATTTTGGCTCACCGCAACCTCCACCTCCCAGGTTCAAGCAATTCTGTCTCAGCCTCCTGAGTAGCTGGAATTACAGACATGCACCACCGTCCCTGGCTAATTTTGTATTTTCAGTAGAGATGGGGTTTCTCCACATTGGTCAGGCTGGTCTCTCAAACTCCCGACCTCAGGTGATCCGCCCACCTCGGCCTCCCAAAGTGCTGGGATTACAAGCATGAGGCACCCCTGCCAGCCTTCCCTTAGTACCTTTTTGGATAATTAGGTTTGACTCTGTGAAGGAGTAAGTCTGGTAGCAGGAAGATGGCACAGGCTTATGTGTACAGTGTAGCTTGTTTTGTGAGATCAAGAGAAAAAGCTGCATGTGTCTATGGATATAGGTAGACATATTTAGGTTTCATTATATGCACATAAACATTGACTTAACACAAATGATCTGCGTTTCTGGTTTAAACTGATATTTGTACTTATTAATTTTTTTGCATATTAAGAGATTGTCATGGCTTAGTTTTTCTATTGATTTAATTTATGCTGCCAGAATTTATTATAACACTGTATATCAACTGTAGAAGTAAACATTTAAAGAGTTTAAAGCAGTAGGATTGCACTGAATGATTGTTATAGATCAGAATAAAGGAAAATTCTACACTATGATTTAGTAGGTTGAATGTTGCTTTTATATGTGTTCAATATTTATTCAAGACATTTACTGACCACCTATTATGTGGTAGACCCCTTATATTTAATACCAACTTAATACCAAAGAAAGGAAATAATATTGAGAATATAGGCGAAATTATATATTTCAAATTAAAGAAGTGCTGTTATCCACCGAATAGTTTATCCATTTGTTTCAGGGATTCAGCTTATAGACAAAAGCCAAAGTAAGGAAATAATATCTAGAATGTGGAATAAATTACATATTTAAAATAAAGAAATGTAGACTGGGTGTGGTGGGTCATACCTGTAATCCCAGCACTTTGGGAGGCTGAGGCAGGCAGATAACTTGAACCCAGGAGTTCAAGACCAGCCTGGGCAACTTGGTGAGACCCTCTCTCCAAAAAATACAAAAATTAGCTGGGCGTGGTGGTGCTCACCTGTTATCCCAGCTGCTTGGGATACTGAGGCAGGAGGATTGCTTGAGCCTGGGAAGCCGAGGTTGCAGTGAGCTGAGATTGTGCCACTGCACTTCAGCCTGGGTGACACAGTAAGAACCTGTCTTAAAAAAAAAAAAAAAAGTTGTTACTCAATGGATAGTTTGCCATTCAATTTAAAAATAACCTTTGAATGAAACAAATATAAAACCAATTATAGAGACATAGCAAGAATTATTCTATTTTTGTACTTAAGGAATGGAATCACTATTCTTTTTATTTTATTTATTTATTTTTTTGAGATGAAGTCGCTCTCTGTTACCCAGGCTGGAGTGCAGTGGCTGGGTCTCAGCTTACTGCAACCTCTGTCTCCCGGGTTCATGCGATTCTCCTGCCTCAGCCTCCCTAGTAGCCGGGACTACAGGCGCATGCCACCATGCCCAGCTACTTTTTGTATTTTTAGTAGAGATGGGGTTTCACCATATTGGCCAGGCTGGTCTCGAACTCCTGACCTTGTGATCCACCCGCCTCAGCCTCCCAAAATGCTGGGATTACAGTTGTGAGCCACTGCGCCTGGTTCTTTTTAATTATTTAATTTATTATTATTATTAAGAGACAGAGTCTCACTTGGTCACTGAGGCTGGAGTGCATTGGCGTGATCACAGCTCACTGCAGTCTCAAACTCCTGGGCTCAAGCAGTCTTCTTGTTTTACTCCTAAGTAGTTAATGCTATAGGTGTACACCATGATGCCTGGCTTAGGTTTTTAAAAAATTTGTAGAGACAGGGTGTTACTGTGTTGAACAGATGGGGCTCAAACTCAAGTGATTCTCCTGCCTGAGCCTCCCAAAGCACTGGGATTACTTGAGATACTCTTTTTAAATATGAAAATTGGAAAATCAAAACTGAACATACCTTTAAGTTTAAAACTCTTTTATTTGAGGAAAATTTTAAACTAAAGCAAGGTTGCAAGAAAATAGTATGAAGAGTTTTTCAGTTTATCCCCTCATCAGGATTCACCTAGTATCAACTCCCTTCCTCATCCTTGCCCTGCCTGTCCTGGTTCCCAGGTTTATTCAACTCACTCATTATATATGCAAGTTTTCTTAACCATGTGAGGATAATTTGCATATGTAATACCCTCTTACCCCAAATATTATACTAAGAATATTGGTCTCTTAAATAACCATAGTTCATTTATCAACTTAAGTATATTTAATATTGACAACATACTTTTATGTCAGTTGTCCATATTCTAATTTTGTCAGTTGATCCAATAATATTCTTTATAGCATTTTCTTACCTCCAGCGCAGGATTCAGTCTAGGATCAAATATTGCATTTAGTTGTATTTTCTTATAGCTTCCTTTAAAATCTGGACTGTTTACAGACTTTCTTTGTCTTTTTTAAAATACAATACCCCCAAGATTGTGTGATCTGACTGTGCTTTAAAGTCATAATAGTGAGCCACTACTAATAAAGGTTATTTTAAGTATTTTTCTGTCCTCCATTTAAACTTGTCATGGGGAAAAAAGCAAATATTGAAATCATCTCAGCTTTTTAGCCTTTCCGTTTTACAACCAAAGTTATAGAATGAATTTTCTTGGTAATTAATACATATTTAGTGCATCTGTAAAGACAATGTTGCAATCTAGATTTTCTGATTTATATTGTGATTTTAATTTTTAATTTTTTTTGTTTTTTTTTGCTTTGATTTTTTTTTTAAAGCTACACATTTGAAGTTTGATCAGCATCTTGAGTAAATTTTCATTTTTATAAATCTGTCTTCCTTCCTGGTAGCATTCTGCCACCTAGTGGAAATTTATGTCCTCCAACATATGTCTCAGAATTTAGCTGGAACGCAAGATGCATTTTAATAAGTAAAAAATAGTTTAGAATCGTTGAGGTTCGTTGGTTGACATGTAATTCTTTACAACAGTGAATGCCTTATTCTAAACAAGAGTTTAGTACAGATAAAATTCTTAGCAAATGAGAGCTTAGTAGATGTCTTAAATTGTTACTGAGTATTAAAACCTGCTCATCTTTCTCAACAAGAAGTACTCTACATTTATCTTCTTCATCAATGAAATTTTAACCAAAGCATCCTATTTTTCCATCAGTCAATTTTTTTTTTTTTTTTTGAGTCTAGCTCTTGTCACCCAGGCTGGAGTGCAGTGGTGCCATCTCGGCTTACTGCAACCTCCACCTCCTGGTTCTAGTGATTCTCCTGCCTCAGCCTCCCAAATAACTAGGATTACAGGCGCCCGCCACCATGGCCAGCTAATTTTTTATTTTTAGTAGAGATGGGGTTTCACCATGTTGGTCAGGCTGGTCTCAAACTCCTGACCTCAGGTGATCTACCTGCCTCGACCTCCCAAAGTGCTGGGACTACAGGCATGAGCCACCATTCCCTGCAAGAGACACATTTTTAGTAGGACTTGAGGAACATTTCTGACTTGGAGTTGTACATACATTCTGCATAGTTATATTAGAATGTGAAATCTGAGGTTGTTTTCAGTATAGGCATTTATGAAAAAGAATATTGGGAATTATCTGTTTAAAGAAAGTAGTTCTGAATTACAAGATGCATTCAGTCATATAACACCTTCATAGAGTCATGTATATTTTTTAATGTGCTTATCTTATTTCTAATTATTCTTAGTTGCTGATGTATATTCAAGATGAGTGGATTAGGAGAAAACTTGGATCCACTGGCCACTGATTCACGAAAACACAAATTGCCATGTGATGCTCCAGGACAAGGGTAGGTGACTTATTTCCTGGTGCTTTACCACACTTGTTCTCCTCCCTCTGCCTTTGTTTAAGGATAACATTTTAACTTCTGGTCATTTACATTCTCTGGTTAGATTTTTTGGTGGTTTCACTTCATGGTAAATAGAGTGTTACTGATGAGATGGACATCTTTCTGATGTAATAGAAGTTTTTTTTTTTTTATTGCTGATTCAGATAGAAGGTAGAATATTAACAATTTGTGATACTATAAGAATTTCTGAATGGAGGGCGGGGTAGGAGTTACAAATAGATGACCAAGGTTATGTCATATGTGTCCATGTGAAGAGACCACCAAACAGGCTTTGCGTGAGCAACAAGGCTGTTTATTTCACCTGCGTGCAGGCGGGCTGAGTCCGAAAAGAGAGCCAGCAAAAGGGTAGTGGGATTATCATTAGTTCTTACAGGTTTTTGGGATAGGCAGTGGAGTTAGCAATGTTTCCTGGGCAGGGGGTGGATCTCACAAAGTACATTCTCAAGGGTGGGGAGAATTACAAAGAACCTTCTTAAGAGTGGGGAGATTACAAAGAACCTTCTTAAGGGTGGGGGAGATTACAAAGTACATTGATCAGTTAGAGTGGGGCATAAACAAATCACAATGGTGGAATGTCCTCAGTTAAGGCTATTTTCACTTCTTTTGTGGATCTTCAGTTGCTTCAGGCCATCTGGATGTAAACATGCAGGCTTGGGCTCAGAGGCCTGACAGTTATTATAAGTAAGAATCTTAGCTGTCTTTTAAGAATGGGTTATAAGTTGATATTTTATCATTTGTTAGGTTGCATCCTTTTTTTACCAAGTGAAATGAGAAGCTTAAAAATTAGAAACAAAATAATGTAATCTATACAACACTACTCCATAGCTTTTAAAGTATTTGCCAAAGTCAGTGTCAATTGAGGTTTAATGTGATAGTTGAAAAATATCAATCTATGATGAATAAAACTTCATCATCAGTAAGTAGCTACCAGTGTTTTTGTTATTATTTGTTAGTTGTTTTATTATCTCTAAGAAGTAAAGATTATTTATTCATATTTTCTAGATGAAGTAACTGAGGCTAACTCTGCCCAAGGCCACCTAGCTAACAAAGATGGAACTGGATTTAGGTTTACGTGAATCTCTATTATGTTGTACTGCTTCTCCAAGACAGCATTTTTGATAGTTTACATTGGCTGAGTTTAGTTTGTTTACATATGAAAATAATAGGCTGGGTGTGGTGGCTCATACCTGTAATCCCAGCACTTTGGGAGGCCAGGGCGGGTGGATCACCTGAGGTTAGGAGTTCAAGACCAGCCTGACCAACATGGTGAAACCTCATCTCTACTAAAAATGCAAAAATTAGCCAGGTATGGTGGCGCATGCCTGTAATCCCAGCTACTAGGGAGGCTGAGGCAGGAGAATCGCCTGAATCCGGGAGGCAGAGGTTGCATTGAGCTGAGATCACACCATTGTACTCCAGCCTGGGCAACAAGAGCGAAACTCCGTCTCAAGGAAAAAAAAAAAAAGGTAATAGTGTTGTATAGGGGCTGATTCTGCTAACAGCTCTTTTGTGATATGTATTATGTCTCCTTTCCTCCCTCTCTACCCTTTTTCCCTTAGTCTTACCTGCAGTGGTGAAAAGCGGAGACGGGAGCAGGAAAGTAAATATATTGAAGAATTGGCTGAGCTGATATCTGCCAATCTTAGTGATATTGACAATTTCAATGTCAAACCAGATAAATGTGCGATTTTGAAGGAAACAGTAAGACAGATACGTCAAATAAAAGAACAAGGTAATAAAAACACTCATGTCTTTTAAAACAGCAGTGGTTCCCAACCTTTTTGGCACCAGGGACTGGTTTTGTGGAAGCCAGTTTTTCCATGGACGTGGTAGAAGGGATGGTTTCAGGATGATTCAAGTGCATTATGTTTGTGGTGTACTTTATTTCTATTATGATTACATTGTAACATATAATGAAATAATTATACGACTCACCATAATGCAGAAATCAGTGGGAGCCCTGAGCTTGTTTTCCTGCAGCTAGACGGGTCCATCTGGGGGTGACAAGATCATTAGGCATTAGAGAATCATAAGGAGCACACAACCTAGATCCCTCGCATGCGGAGTTCACATTAGGGTTTGCACACCTGTGAGAATCTAATGCTGCTTCTGAGCTGACAGGATGTGGAACTCAGGTGGTAATGTGAGCGATGGGGAGGGGCTGTTGTAAATACAGATTAAACTTTGCTCACTTGCCCACTGCTGACCTCCTGCTGTGCCGCCCCATTCCTAACAGGCCATGGACTGATATTTGTCTATGGCCTGGGGGTCGGGGACCCCTGTTTTAGAAGGGACTTGTTGCTATATTTGCCTTTTTGCTCCTTTATTTGGGTAGAGACTACAACTGGTAGAGGCTAACAAGTATGGGAATAGACAAATGTGTTGACCAGCTGTGCTTTTTGTTATTTATATATTTATTTATTTTGAGACAGTGTCTCGCTTTGTCACCCGGGCTAGAGTGCAGTGGTGTGATCTCAGCTCACTACAACCTCCACCTCCTGGGTTCAAGAGATTCTCCTGCCTCAGCCTCCCAAGTAGCTAGGATTACAGGCACCCGCCACCACGCCTAGCTAAGTTTTGTATTTTTAGTAGAGACGGAGTTTCACCATGTTGGCCAGGCTGGTCTCAAACTCCTGACCTCAGGTGATCCACCTGCCTCAGCCTCCCATAGTGCTGGGATTACAGGCGTGAGCCACTGCACCAGGCCTCCAGCTATGGTTTTTTTTTTTTTTTTTTTGGAGACAGAGTCTTGCTCTGTCGCCCAGGCTGGAGTGCAGTGGCCGGATCTCAGCTCACTGCAAGCTCCGCTTCCTGGGTTTACACCATTCTCCCACCTCAGCCTCCCGAGTAGCTGGGACTACAGGCGCCCGCCACCTCGCCTGGCTAGTTTTTTGTATTTTTTAGTAGAGACGGGGTTTCACCGTGTTAGCCAAGATGGTCTCGATCTCCTGACCTCGTGATCCGCCCGTCTCGGCCTCCCAAAGTGCTGGGATTACAGGCTTGAGCCACCGCGCCCGGCCCAGCTATGCTCTTTAGAAATGGTTAACAGACAATTCCCTGTCATTTGTTAGTTCCCTTTCAGGAAGCTGTGGGATAGTACATTTAGTAGTGAAACAATTTAGGTATCTTCTGGCTTCCTGGGTAACTATGAAGTTTAGTTTTGATGTTATAATATTGTAGCATCATTCTCTTATGAGGAAACGTTTTGTATGTATGTATGGGCATGTGCATGTGTATCTTTATGTCTCTTCTGGGGACTATTTCAAGATGATTTAATCTATAACTGATAAGTGTGTTATTTGTTATACCACCTTCTGTCTTTTCAGGAAAAACTATTTCCAATGATGATGATGTTCAAAAAGCCGATGTATCTTCTACAGGGCAGGGAGTTATTGATAAAGACTCCTTAGGACCGCTTTTACTTCAGGCAAGTATAAAGATTTTAACTGTCCAGTAAGCTGTGTTGCAGTTTGATTTATTATAAAGTTATAAAAAAAGAATAAATTTTGGTTAGGAAATGAGAACAAAAAGAAAACATTTTTCTTTGAGACAATTCAGTATTCTGAATATGATGGTAAAATGCTCTTAAATTTACAATATACATAATTCAGGAAGCCTTGGCCCCCTAGTAAAAATATAGTTGCAAATTGAGAAATCACACCTATACAAACATAAAAATATAAAGAAGCAGGAAAGGAAAGGTAACCTGTAATTTCACAGAGATATTTGGGTACAAATGGCCCTTTCATATCCATGGGTTTTGCACTGCAGATTTGGAGGCTGGGGAAGAAATAAAAAATAATGTTAAAACAATAAAAAATATGGCTGGGCGCAGTGGCTCACGCCTGTAATCCCAGCACTTTGGGAGGCCAAGGCGGGTGGATCACGAGGTCAGGAGATTGAGACCATCCTGGCTAACATGGTGAAACCCCGTCTCTACTAAAAATATAAAAAATAGCTGGGCGTGGTGGTGGGTGCCTGTAGTCCCAGCTACTACTCAGGAGGCTGAGGCAGGAGAATGGCGTGAACCTGGGAGGTGGAGCTTGCAGTGAGCCTAGATTGCGCCACTGCACTCTGGCCTGGGTGACAGAGCAAGACTCAGTCTCAAAAAAAAAAAAAAAAAACCAATAAAAAAATACTTCAGTGTGATGACTATTTATATAGCATTTACATTGTATTAGGTATTATAAGTAATCTAGAGATGATTTAAATTATATTGGAATATATATGCATAGGCTATAGGCAAATACACCATTTTATATCAGGGACTTGAGCATCCTTGGATTTTGCCGTCTTTGGAAGGTCTTGGAACCAATCTTACACAGATACCGGGGGATGATGACTGTACGTTTTAGCTCAGACATTTTTGGTGAATTTTTGCATGATTAATCACATGGCACGCTTTGGTTTTATATTCTTGAGGAATTGTTAACACTTAAATATGTGCATTGTATTTGTTTAGGGGCTGAAGCCCTTCATAAAGTTAACTTGTCAACTTCTTTTTGTTTCAGGTAGTTTGTTCCAACTACTTTTAGTTGATCAGTTGTGAAATTCGTCTTTGTAAATTCTCATTAAGGAATGCTGTAGCAGTTTCTGTAGCTTGACTTGGCATCAAATGGAAAAAATGGGAAGAGCTAAGGATGCTTTTCTCACTTTTAAAAGCTCCTTTGAAGATACAATTCTTTAAAAATTAGATTAGACATTAATTCAGATTTCATGCTGAACATATTTATGTACACACTCTGCCACCCCCAATTCTTCTTTTTTTTCCCCCCCAATAAGGCCTGTAATAATGGTGCTAATGTTAGTAGTAATGGTGGCTTATAGTTGTTTGCAGTAATTAAGTCAGCAGTAGTTTTTACACATTTTGCTTATTACTATGGCTGCTGTTTGCTGATACTACTGTAACAAAATACCACAGACTTGGTAGGTTAAACCAAATAAATTTATTTCTTACAGTGTTGGAGGCTGGAAGTCCAGGATCAAGGTGTCGGCAGGATTGGATTCTCCATTTCTTGTCACTGTGTTCTCCCATGGCCTTTTCTCTGCATGCACATTCCTGGTGTCTTTCTCTCCCCTTATAGGATACCGGTCATATTGGATTAGGGTCCCCACCCATATGACCTCATTTATCTTTAATTATCTCCTTGAAGGTCTTGTTTCCAAATACAGTTATGTTGATGGTTGGAGTTTCAATTTAAGAATTAGAGGAAGGAGTATACAATTCAGTTAATAACAGCCTGTATTAACATATCCTATTTTAGGCATTGGATGGTTTCCTATTTGTGGTGAATCGAGATGGAAACATTGTATTTGTGTCAGAAAATGTCACACAATACCTGCAATATAAGCAAGAGGACCTGGTTAACACAAGTGTTTACAATATCTTACATGAAGAAGACAGAAAGGATTTTCTTAAAAATTTACCAAAATCTACAGGTAGGCTTTTAATGTGTATTTTGTAAATAGGTTAAATTTTTTTCCTTGACCATTTCTTAGAAAATTGAATGTATCTTTTAGGAAGTCCAGCCATCAAATGAGGGTAGAAAGGCATGTGATTTAATAGCAAAATTTTGACATATGGTGTCAGTGAATTAAAAATTTGGTATACATTTTAAGAGGCATATAGTTACAAAATATGCAGTGAGATTTCTGTTAAAGTTGAAATTATTCATATGTTTTGTATATTGCCAGCCTGAAATGTTAGTATAGATATAACTATGGAAAACATGCATAATGAGAAAATGCAGCTTGAATTCTTGATAATGGTCATAGAATGAGTTACAAGCTTTTTAAAATGTCATTTCAATTTGTTTTCCAAAGTTAATGGAGTTTCCTGGACAAATGAGACCCAGAGACAAAAAAGCCATACATTTAATTGCCGTATGTTGATGAAAACACCACATGATATTCTGGAAGACATAAACGCCAGTCCTGAAATGCGCCAGAGATATGAAACAATGCAGTGCTTTGCCCTGTCTCAGCCACGAGCTATGATGGAGGAAGGGGAAGGTAAGAGCTATCATATGTTTGTGATGTTCATGAAACAAATAGTAGCCGTACTTGGAGTTTTGAAACTTCTGTTATAACTCTTCTTACTGAATTCCATGTCCTTGCTTGCCTATTGAACATACATATCCAAAAGTTAAGCATAATCCTTATCAGGGTGAATTTTTTATTATAGATTTGCAATCTTGTATGATCTGTGTGGCACGCCGCATTACTACAGGTGAAAGAGCATTTCCATCAAACCCTGAGAGCTTTATTACCAGACATGATCTTTCAGGTAAAAACTCTTTCCCTCCCTCTCTCTGTATGTGTGTATACGTACATTTTTATTTTGGAAATTTTTGTAAATGTTACTATTTTTAATCTGTACTATCATAAAAATGTATACCTACTACAATGAGTGCTTTATGTGTATCATTTTTCATGTTTCTTATGCAACCCTAAAAGAATTTCACTAAAATTCTTGGCATTTTGAGTTGGGTATGTTTGGCACTTTAAATCCCCCAAATAAATTAAAAAAACAAATTTAGGGGCACCTGGTTTTCTCTCCAAATGGCATTTTGCATCAGAATTTAGTGTTTCTTTACTCTAACTTCAAGCCTATTTGTCATAAAGAAACATGTTTAAAAAAAATTACAGGTAATTTAATGAGAATTATTGGGAGTAGTTTTTTTTTTTTTTTTTTTTTTGAGATGGAGTCTTGCTCTGTCACCCAGGCTGGAGTGCAATGGTGTGATCTTGCTTCACTGCAACCTCCACTTCTTGGGTTCAAGTAATTTTCCTGCCACAGCCTCCCAAACAATTGGGACTACAGGCACGTGCCACCATGCCCGGCTAATTTTAGTATTTTTAGTAGGGATGGGGTTTCACCATGTTGTCCAGACTGGTCTCGAACTCTTGACCTCAAGTGATTCGCCTGCCTCTGCTCCCAAAGTGCTGGGATTACAGTTGTGAGCCACTGTGCCTGGCTGGGAGTCATTCTTGACGTCAACCTGAGTTTCAGTCTTGGTCTGCCTTTTTTAATCATAGAAATAAAAAATTAAAGACATTGTGATTGGTAAGATGCATTAATGAAATTAAGCACTGTGGCAATATTATTTTTATTTACCTTCGGGGTTACTCTTATGGTCACCTAAGTGTAAATGAGGATGCCAAGGGTTTGTCATATATGCCCCATCTCAGAGATAAAGAAACAGAGGCTTGGTAACAGAGATTGGGTTATTGTCCAAGATCATGGCTAATAAGAAAATTTATAGCTCTGTCTGCCTGACTTAGCCTGTATTCTTTGCTTTGTGTAACACTAATTTTATAATGTGGACCTTTACCAAGTGATATAAAACTGGAGTAGGTATACATAAACATAAAACATAGCTATTGCTATTACATATGTATGTGTATGTTTGTAATATGCATATATAATATACATAATACAGAATATTTTTAAAGAAATATTGCTATTTTTGCAGTCATTCAGCCATTTTATGCCATACTCAGTAACTTATCTTCAGGCTTTTTGAGATTAATTTTCACAATTAAAAAGAAGTAGCAAAGAATTATTTTGACAATTCAAAGTACAATCTGTTTACGCTGATGGATATTACTTTTTTTTTTTTTTTTTTGAGACAGAGTCTTGCTTTGTCATGCTCAGGCTGGAGTGCAGTGGTATGATCTCGGCTCACTGCAACCTCTGCCTCCTGGGTTCAAGCGATTCTCCTGCCTCAGTCTCCCGAGTAGGTGAAATTACAGGTGCCTGTCACCATGCCCGGCTAATTTTTTCTATTTTTAGTAGAGACAGGGTTTCACCATGTTGGTCAGGCTGGTCTCGAACTCCTGACCTCAGGTAATCCACCTGCCTCGGCCTCCCAAAGTGCTGGGATTACAGCATGAGCCACCATGCCCGGCCGTATATTACTTTATATTTGAACATTTTCTCTGTATTAACTCACCTCAGATAAACATAGTGACAGCAATTTTTATATATTATTTTATGTTTTTAGAGTGGGTCTTTCTCTGCATGTCTTATGGTTTGGCAGTGTTAATTTTCTACTTGAATAGCCATGTTTTACATTTGTTACTGAAAATACTAAATAAAACATCTTTAAGCAGTTTAGCATCTTTGAAAATTATCTCATTAGTATATAAAAGCAATACATGTTTATTACAAAAGTTAGAAATTACCAAGCATGAAAGAAAACAGGACATGATGAAGAAAAATATTACCAAGCAAGAAAGATCAAATGCTTTGTGTGATTAACATCATTTAAAACTGAGATCCTACTTACCGTAGTTACAGTTAATGCCTTCCACGGGTATCTCTTATATTATAGGAGGCTTACTGCACTCAACACAATACATGTTTTGACCTCTGGATATATTTTATCTTCTGTCCCTGATGTGTTTCATATAATAAACTTTTTATGAACATCTATTTTGTATTTGTCATGTGGCCCAGGGCTAAACTCAGGGGAGGTGGTTGAGGACAAATCTTCTCTATTTTGGGCACAAGTGTACAGGTATTTACTCTTTCCTGGAATGCATTTGTCCCTTTTCCCTGCTCTCCCCCTGCTACTAATAAGATTTTTGGTCACCATTAAAATTCTGAATTTTAAACTGATTATTGGACTGGTGGTTTATCAATATTAGTGCCTTTTAAATATCCAGTAGTTTTTGCAGAATTACTTTTCACTATGAAGCCCCATAAGTTTTCCCAAACCAAACTTGGTTTTCTTCCGTATTTTTACCTTTCTAATGAAGATGTCATAGAAAGGATAAATACATGGGCAAGCCTTTTTTTTTTTTTTTTTGAAATGGAGTCTTGCTTTGTTGCCCTGGCTGGAGTGCAGTGGTGCGATCTCGGCTCACTGCAACCTCTGCCTCCCGGGTTCAAACTTTTCTCCTGCCTCAGCCTACCGAGTAGTTGGGACTACAGGTACGTGCCACCACACTTGGCTAATTTTTTATATTTTTAGTAGAGATGGGATTTCACCATGTTAGCCAGGATGGTCTCGAACTCCTGACCTCGTGATCCGCCCACCTCGGCCTCCCAAAGTATTGGGATTACAGACGTGAGTCACTGCGCCTGGCCTGGGCAAGCCTTTTCTATGTCTTCCCTGATTTGTGTGGAATCAGTTTATTGCCCACTTCTTTCAAGCTATTTGTCTGTACCTCTTGGGTCACGACTTCCATCATCACTGGGATTTGGCATATCTGTTGGTGCTGAGCATAAGAGATTGCCTAGATCTGATTATTGCATTTCTTTGTAAAACCTACACAAAACAGACAAAACAGATAACTATTGGCAATCTTGACATCAGCAGGAGTTTCATATGAAGTCTGCCATGTTTAACCATGGAGCATATTTTGTCACAGAAAAGATTACTGAGGATGTCCAGGTCAAAAACTGTGTGACCAGTTATTATGGCTTGGATCATTCTGTCTGCATTCAAAGATACAGAAGAGGCCTTGAAGCTGATCCAAGACCAGCCATGGAAGCTGGTCACATAGTTTTTGACCTGTATATCCTCAGTAATTAGTCTGAATTTTCTAAGGACACTTTCGTCATTCTGCAGATCAGCAAGGTTCATTTCAAAAACACAGTTCTTTAGGCCATCAGATGCAGTGCTGGTTCCTTGAGCCCTTTTGACTAGTTTGTTACCAATTAAACATAGCTAGTGCTTTCACATCATACCAGTCTTTTTTAGAAAATGGATTAACCACTTTCTTCTTTGCTCCCATTCTGCGACTTTTTGTAAGGCACTTGCTTTTGCCAGCTGCTTAGAGTGAAAAGGCCTAGACATTTTTTAAGGACCATCTGTTGTCATGAAACCTTCTTTAATTCCATGGTATTTTTGAGTATGTATATTTGGTGTCTTCACTGTATTTGATATTAAGCAAAAGTTGTCAGAAGTGTCCAGCATTGTAGAAATGAGTATTTGGTTAACCCTCTAAGTTTAGGTATTAAGTGTACAAAAATGCGATCATCTCTCAGATGCAAAGAATTGTCCCTGCTGGCTCTTTAAGCAGGTGTTTTCTCTTGCTTCATAGTTGTAGGGACAGAATCTGTTTGGACAAACAACTGTCCTCATAGATGTTATTTTTTTCCTTTACACGAAAATGAACTTAAGGTTATCTGGACATGTTATAGTCACTACATTCAGAAAGTAAAAGGAGTTTGTGTGATATACTCATAAATTCTGTACAGCATTTGGGAAAGCACTGTTTTTCTATACTCCCACATCACTTCTGACCCCAGATGTATTTTTTTCTCCACTAAACCAGTGCTCTGTCTGACATAAGCAGGGTGCCCTACAGTTTTAGTTTGGACAATTTCTACCTGGGTTTAGCATTAGATCTTATAAGTTTAAGGGTTCAGTCCCACAAGACTGCCTGTACTTCACTTCAGATGCCAGTTGCAAGTCCTGGCCTTCCGTACTTCTGACTGACTGGCTATAAATTGGGCCTCTGATCCTCTCCTTAGGTTTGATGGTTTGCTAGAATGGCTCAAGAAATCCGGAAATGCTTTACTCAGGTTTACTGGTTTCTTATGAAGGATACAACTCAGGAATAGCTCAATGGGAGAAATATATAGGACAAGGTATTAGGGGGTGGGGATGAGGTTTGGAGGTTCCGTGCCCTTTCTGGGCTTATAACCTTCCCAGCACCTTAATGTGTTCATCCTTTGGAAGCTCATCAAATCTCTTGTTCAAGAGTTTTTTTTTTTGTTGTTGTTTGTTTGTTTTTTTTTTTTTTTTTTTTGAGACGGAGTCTCACTCTGTCACCCAGGCTGGAGTGCAGTGGCGCGATCTCGGCTCACTGCAAGCTCCGCCTCCCGGGTTCACGCCATTCTCCCCCGCTCAGCCTCGAGTAGCTGGGACACAGGCGCCCGCCACGGCCCGGCTAGTTTTTTGTATTTTTAGTAGAGACAGGGTTTCACCATGTTAGCCAGGATGGTCTCGATCTCCTGACCTCGTGATCCACCCGCCTCGGCCTCCCAAAGTGCTGGGATTACAGGCTTGAGCCACCGCGCCCGGCCTGTTGTTTTTTTTTTTAAATTGGAGACGGAGTCTTGCTCTGTCGCCTAGGCTAGAGTACAGTGGCACTTTCTTGGCTCACTGTAACCTCTGCCTCCCGGGTTCAAGCCATTCTCCTGCCTCAGCCTCCCAAGTAGCTGGGATTACAGGCACGTACCACCACGCCCAGCTAAGTTTTGTATTCTTAGTAAAGACGGGGTTTTACCATGTTGACCAGGCTGGTCTCGAACTCTTGACCTTGTGATCTGCCCGCCTCGGCCTCCCAAAGTGCTGGGATTACAGATGTGAGCCACTGTTCCTGGCCCAAGAGTTTTTTTTTTTTTTTTTTTTTTTTTTTTTTTTTTGAGACAGAGTCTCATTCTGTCACCAGGCTGGAGTGCAGTTGCGTGATCTCTGCTCACTGCAACCTCCGCCTCCCAGGTTCAAGCGATTCTCCTGCCTCACCCTCCCTAGTAGCTGGGACTACAGGCACGCGCCACTACGGCCAGCTAATTTTTGTATTTTTAATAGAGACGGGGTTTCACCATGTTGGCCAGGATGGTCTCAATATTTTGACCTCGTGATCCACCTGCCTTGGCCTCCCAAAGTGCTGGGATTACAGGTGTGCGGCACCGTGCTCGGCCAAGAGTTTTTTTTATAGAATTTAATCACCAGGCTCTCCTTCCTCCCTCATCCCCCATTCCTGGAGGTTAGTAGGTGGAACTACTAACAGAAAGTTCCAATCCTTTTTTTTTTTTTTTTGAGACGGAGTCTCGCTCTGTCGCCCAGGCTGGAGTGCAGTGGCCGGATCTTAGCTCACTGCAAGCTCCACCTCCTGGGTCTACGCCATTCTCCTGCCTCAGCCTCCCCAGTAGCTGGGACTACAGGCGCCCGCCACCTCGCCCGGCTAGTTTTTTGTATTTTTTTGGTAGAGACGGGGTTTCATCGTGTTAGCCAGGCTGGTCTCGATCTCCTGACCTCGTGATCCGCCCATCTCGGCCTCCCAAAGTGCTGGGATTACAGGCTTGAGCCACCGCGCCTGGCCTCCAATCCTTTAATTACTTGGTTTTTCTGATACCAGCTCCATCCCGAGGTGATCTAGAGACCCCAACCTAAGTCACCTCATTAGCATAAATTGAGGTGTGTTCCGAAGGGGCTCTTTATGAATAACTTGAAAATACTTTTATTACTCAGGAAATTCTGAGGATTTTAGATAGGAGCTCTGTGCTAGAAATCTGACAAAGGCCAAATGTATTATTATACTCCTTAGCAGAACTTGTAGGGAGAATCCTGTGGTGCTATGTCTTAAGGAGAAAAGCTCTGGATGTAGTAGAAATTTGGATCAGAGAAGGTGGAGCAAAGATTTAATATCTTTTATTTTATTCTCCAGTGCTAAGCCATGTGTAGGCAGCCGGTAAATACTTGTGGGCTGGATATAACTCTTTTTTTCCTTTTTCTGTTTAATAGGGAAGGTTGTCAATATAGATACAAATTCACTAAGATCCTCCATGAGGCCTGGCTTTGAAGATATAATCCGAAGGTGTATTCAGAGATTTTTTAGTCTAAATGATGGGCAGTCATGGTCCCAGAAACGTCACTATCAAGAAGGTAAAGAATTTTGGGGTTCTTTTTTATCATTTTATTCTTTAGAGACAGGGCCTTGCTATCTTGCCCAGGCTGGACTCAAACTGCTGGGTTTAAGTGATCCTTCTGCCTCAGCTTCTGAGTAGCCGAGACTGCAGGTGCACACCACCATACCTGGTTTTGGGGTTGATTCTTGATCTTTTTTGTCATTATGTTTGGTATACACATGGCTGTAGTTGCTGCTGTTTTGTTGGTGAGGGGTAGAAAAATGATTCCTGAGTGTTCTTATTTCACCCTGTTGATAATTTTGGTGCAGATCCAGTCTTTCCTTGGATTTTTAGAAATGTTGTACTTGAAGTATATTTCCTCCCTATCCCCTCCTATATATATTTGTTTTGCTGACTGTAGTTACCAGTGATGGGATATTTTCCCCAACAGCTTATCTTAATGGCCATGCAGAAACCCCAGTATATCGATTCTCGTTGGCTGATGGAACTATAGTGACTGCACAGACAAAAAGCAAACTCTTCCGAAATCCTGTAACAAATGATCGACATGGCTTTGTCTCAACCCACTTTCTTCAGAGGTAATGATAGATTACTGTGTATTGTAATATGAAATGCAGCAGTGTTCTCAAAATGCTTTATTATTAAAGTAAAAAAGGAAGGGACAAAATGAGACAAAACTTAGGAAGGTTATTGGGTTTGATGAAATGAGTTTAGATTCCTGGATTATGATTTGTTTAAGGTTATATTTTTATGTGAAAGTGATTATTTATTAAATACTTTACAGGAAAGTTAGGGGATGGGAAGGCTAAAGGGTGGATAAAAGAGCATATAAAATCTGATTACATGTCTTGCCATTCATTTCTGATGATGTGTTTTGCTTTGGGGACTGCATTTAAAATTTGAGGCTACATTTTAAGAATAAAGGTAGTTACTGTCAGTGTTGGTAGTGGCAAATAAGAAATGCATGAAGGGGAGGATATTCACCCATTAATTATCTTGAATAATTTGCAGGTACCTCCAGGTGAAGCCCTAGATAATGTGGCAACTCTAATAAAGCCCACCTGAAACTCCAGTTAACATAGCTGTTGGTCTTTCATAATACTACAGTGGTCTTAGTCATATAGATTCTGTGGCTTATTGAAAAATGTTATTAGGTAAATAATTGATCGATACGTAGACTGGAATTGTCACTAGGTATTGGAATGTTGCCTAAAAAGTTAAGTTCCTGGGTAGTTAATTCATCCCATTTTTTAAATTCCCTCTCCCTGCCTTCCTTCCTTTCTTTCTTCTTCTTCTTCTTTTTTTTTTATTAAACAGAGACAGGGTCTTGATCTGTCGCCCAGGCTGGAGTGCAGTAGTGCCATCACAGCTCACTGCAACCTCGAACTCCTGGGCTCAGGCGATCCTCCCACTACAGCCTCTTGAGTAGCTAGGACTACAGATGTGTGTCACTATGCCTGGCCAATTTTTAAATTTTTAGTAGAGACATGATCTTGCTGTGTTGCCCAGGCTGGTTTCAAACTCCTGAGCTCAAGTGATCCTCCTGCCTCAATTTCCCAAAATGCTGGGAATATAGGTGTGAGCCACTGTAGCTGGCCGGTGTTTAAAAATTTTATTTTATTTTAAATCTGATGAAAGGCTTTTATGCATGCTTATAATTTTTTAGTAAAAGTTTGATGTTTGTTTTGCAGAGAACAGAATGGATATAGACCAAACCCAAATCCTGTTGGACAAGGGATTAGACCACCTATGGCTGGATGCAACAGTTCAGTAGGCAGCATGAGTATGTCGCCAAACCAAGGCTTACAGATGCCGAGCAGCAGGGCCTATGGCTTGGCAGACCCTAGCACCACAGGGCAGATGAGTGGAGCTAGGTATGGGGGTTCCAGTAACATAGCCTCATTGACCCCTGGGCCAGGCATGCAATCACCATCTTCCTACCAGAACAACAACTATGGGCTCAGCATGAGTAGCCCCCCACATGGAAGTCCTGGTCTTGCCCCAAACCAGCAGAATATCATGATTTCTCCTCGTAATCGTGGGAGTCCAAAGATAGCCTCACATCAGTTTTCTCCTGTTGCAGGTATTTATGTTGACATTTCCTTTGTTTTTTTTTCTTTTTAAGTAATTCTTCTTTCCATACTACTGTAATTCTTGTAAAGTTAATCTCTTTTATAATATAAACTTTGAGTAATTAAGTTGTATTTTGTTACAGTGACTGGTAGTCTAATTATTTTCCTAAATTTTTTTCAAATTCAGGTGTGCACTCTCCCATGGGATCTTCTGGCAATAGTGGGAACCACAGCTTTTCCAGCAGCTCTCTCAGTGCCCTGCAAGCCATCAGTGAGGGTGTAGGGACTTCTCTTTTATCTACTCTGTCATCACCAGGCCCCAAATTGGATAACTCTCCCAATATGAATATAACCCAACCAAGTAAAGTAAGCAATCAGGATTCCAAGAGTCCGCTGGGCTTTTATTGCGACCAAAATCCAGTGGAGAGTTCAATGTGTCAGTCAAATAGCAGAGATCACCTCAGTGACAAAGAAAGTAAGGAGAGCAGTGTTGAGGGGTCAGAGAATCAAAGGGGTCCTTTGGAAAGCAAAGGTCACAAAAAATTACTGCAGTTACTTACCTGTTCTTCTGATGACCGGGGTCATTCCTCCTTGACCAACTCCCCGCTAGATTCAAGTTGTAAAGAATCTTCTGTTAGTGTCACCAGCCCCTCTGGAGTCTCCTCCTCTACATCTGGAGGAGTATCCTCTACATCCAATATGCATGGGTCACTGTTACAAGAGAAGCACCGGATTTTGCACAAGTTGCTGCAGAATGGGAATTCACCAGCTGAAGTAGCCAAGATTACTGCAGAAGCCACTGGGAAAGACACCAGCAGTATAACTTCTTGTGGGGACGGAAATGTTGTCAAGCAGGAGCAGCTAAGTCCTAAGAAGAAGGAGAATAATGCACTTCTTAGATACCTGCTGGACAGGGATGATCCTAGTGATGCACTCTCTAAAGAACTACAGCCCCAAGTGGAAGGAGTGGATAATAAAATAAGTCAGTGCACCAGCTCCACCATTCCTAGCTCAAGTCAAGAGAAAGACCCTAAAATTAAGACAGAGACAAGTGAAGAGGTAATTTGTTTTCTGTATATTTCAGCTCATATTTCATCATTTTTCTGTTAGAAATTTAATGTAATATACAAATTCTTCGATTTTAGGTTTATTTAAAGAAAGTTAAATCTTTAGCTGCCATTTCTTTATAATTATTTTGGGTGTCAGTAAAATTATGATGTAATTTAGAAATAACAGATGTGTATGTTTTAAGATGCGAATATAACTCTTTAGTAGCCACTATGAAATTTTGTCATGGAGGTGTTTATTGCTGGAATGGGCAGATTGGGTCATTAAGAGAATGATAGAAGTAATCAGGAAAAAAAAAACAAACTTGTATTAAGCAGCATAATTTTGATTTTAAGGTAAAATCAAGTTTCATGTATAAGATGACATTCTGTATAAGCATTTCCCAAACTTACAGGATATATTAATATGCACTTGAGCAAATGAAAGGCTTAAAGTTAGAATGTGGGCTTAACCTAGTGTTCACCAAATTCATTGACCGAAGTCCTTGTTAGAGCATGCCTATGAACATCTCAGCTTGCCCCTTTTATTATTAATCACACTTATTTTCAGAAGGTATATGTAGATGCAGATATCTGTTAGCTAATTATCAATGCATTGCTAGTGAATGTTACCTGCAAAATATTCTACAGTTTGAGAATTAAATGTCTTGTGTAAATTTAAAAAATGCCCCTTTGAAAGGACCAAATTGAGTGATTTAATCTCACAGGAGGAAGATTAGAGATGGGGGTCATAATAAACTGGCCTTTAAGGTGGGCATTATCATTGTAGGTAATTTTTGTATTTTACTTGCTTCTATTTCATATATCGTTTTTTCTGATGGGTATGCTTATACCTGTGTGTCTAGTAATGTACACAGGTTAATTTTTAAAACTTTATTTTCAGGGATCTGGAGACTTGGATAATCTAGATGCTATTCTTGGTGATCTGACTAGTTCTGACTTTTACAATAATTCCATATCCTCAAATGGTAGTCATCTGGGGACTAAGCAACAGGTGTTTCAAGGAACTAATTCTGTGGGTAAGAATGAACTAGGTTTTGTTTTTGCCGCCTTTGAAACTTTTCTGCGTATCTGTAAACACTCTTACACTAAGACCAGGTTATAAATAGCACTTATAACTTCAGAACATGTATTCTGCCTCTGTTTTCTGTACTAATTTATATTGTATGTGCTTTAGAAAGCTTTTTGGACATTTTCCTGTTTTTTTAAAATTACTTTAAAATAAATTTCCCACTTCTAACTAATATGCCAGTAATCATGGCACTTACAGAAAAATGTTCATCTTTGATTATTCCAGGTGAGTAGTGTAGGTACTAGGGCATATATTTTTCTTAGCCATAGAGAATTGGATTAAAAAGCAACTCAAACTCTAGATTAAAACTTGTCCCTTGGTGTTTTAACAGAATCTTGTCACTTAATTAAGATAGTTTTCTTCTTTGGTGTTTGCTGGTTCTTATCTAGCCCCTCTCCTGTTGCTGTGTGTTTACTTCATCTATTTAACAAAGGTAGGTCGGGCGTGGTGGCTCACACCTGTGGTCCCAGCTACTTGGGAGGCTAAGGTATGAGAATCGCTTCAACCTGGGAGGCGGAGGTTGCAGTGAGCCAAGATCTCACCACTGCACTCCAGCCTGAGTGACAGAGTGATACTCTGTCACAAAGAAAGAAAGATATATTGTGTGTATCAATTGAAAAGGCGGCACTCACAATCATTCAGAATGGTCATTATTCATTTTCAGTAGCATTATTTCCTAAACTAGAATGGATAGATCAGTTAGAGTGGGGGGAAAAAAAGAAGGTTAGAAGGGAATTTTACATTTTATTTCTTTTTGATCAGAAGGCAACTTATCTGGTTAAGTTGATTATAAAATTATAAACAGTATACTTAAGTACAAATATGCAAGAACCTTTAGGAGCTTGGAACATTTGTGAATTTTTTAATATTAAGTGAAGCAGAATATCAGTGACCATATCAGGCTACAGAAGAGTTCTCAGTACTTCAGCTGACCTGGAGAATTGTTGTTTCTAATTTATTTGGAATATGAGACCTTTTTTTGGTGGTGGGGGGAGGGTGGTAGTGGTTGGGTGAGGGCTGGTACTTATTTTGTAAAAGGAAGACAGTGTTTGTTTTTGTAAGAAAGATATTCTTGGGTGGGGCGTGGTGGTATTTGTGTTTTGTACTTGATTATTTATGTATTAAATCACCAATAAATATTTTTGTATTGTGTTTTCAACAGGTTTGAAAAGTCCACAGTCTGTGCAGTCTATTCGTCCTCCATATAACCGAGCAGTGTCTCTGGATAGTCCTGTTTCTGTTGGCTCAAGTCCTCCAGTGAAAAATATCAGTGCTTTCCCCATGTTACCAAAGCAACCCATGTTGGGTGGGAATCCAAGAATGATGGATAGTCAGGAAAATTATGGCTCAAGTATGGGTATGTTATTTCTAATTAGAATTATGATTAATTTATTTTGGGAAAAGCATCTTTAAAATACTTTAAGCCATCTGAATAATTGGGAGTAAATAATAACTTTTTGAATAACGTTAGTATGTTTCTTCCATGAGTATCCTTCATTTATTTTATGTCTTGGTTATGTAAACTCTTAAAGAGTCTTTTGGTCTATGACATTTTCCAACCTATTGAATACATGAGAATAGTGGCCTATGTCTCCACAGTTGGCCAGCCCTTTTCTTACCATGACAAAGTACTGTTTTGTCAAGGCTGATGTTGTGTATAATGGCTGTACTCATATGGTATAAGAAGGATTTCATTATAATATGGAAAAGACCTAAGTATGGCTACCTGTTTTAGGTGGACCAAACAGAAATGTGACTGTGACTCAGACTCCTTCCTCAGGAGACTGGGGCTTACCAAACTCAAAGGCCAGCAGAATGGAACCTATGAATTCAAACTCCATGGGAAGACCAGGAGGAGATTATAATACTTCTTTACCCAGACCTGCAGTGGGTGGCTCTATGCCCACGTTGCCTCTTCGGTCTAATAGCATACCAGGTGCAAGACCACTATTGCAGCCGCAGCAACAGCAACAGATGCTTCAAATGAGTAAGTGTCCCCCCTGCTCCCTTCATGAAGAAAGAAAGTTAGATGTTTCAGGATAATTTTTGCTCTTATTTGATAATTTGTGCTTTCTTTTTGCTCCCCCAGGGCCTGGTGAACTCCCCATGGGAATGGGGGCTAATCCCTATGGCCAAGCAGCAGCATCTAACCAACTGGGTTCCTGGCCCGATGGCATGTTGTCAATAGAACAAGTTCCTCATGGCACTCAAAATAGGTGGGGCGTTATTTTGTAACTCTGTAGAAAATCTCAGCATTGGGTAGTTTAGAAAAGAGTTGGAGCACAGGAGCAAACGTGAGAGAGAATGAGAATTCCTTGTAATTGAGGTACTTGGTTGCCAGCTGGGCATTTCTCATGTAACTGTGTAAAAATGAGGCTGAGGCAGTAAGCAGTGCATGTGGCATTCACAGGAGAGGGAGGAGATACAACCATGTTGTCCAGCTATTAGGGCCATTCAGTGGCCAAACATCTGAGAGCCTCTCTGTGAGATGATTCTCTCTCTAGTCCCATGAGGAGGGGAAAAAAGATAAGTATGTGTTTCTGGTGGTTTTATATTCTTCAGAGGGTTAGCCTCAGTTTTCCAGAAAATTACACTTTTTTTTTTAAACCTTTTTTTCTCCCCAACCACCTGCTGCCTGTTGAGAAAATTATTTTAAGGATTGGCTAATTGTTTTTTAAAATTATTTTAAACATTTCAGTGACGACAGTGAAAGAACTATATAGCATCTTTAAAATTTTTCATAAAATAAAGATTGTAGGCCGGGTGCGGTGGCTCACACCTGTAACCCCAGTGCTTTAGGAGGCCAAGGCAGGCGGATCACAAGGTCAGGAGATCGAGACTATCCTGGCTAACACGGTGAACCCTCGTTTCTATTAAAAATACAAAAAATTAGCCGGGCGTGGTGGCGGGTGCCTATAATTCCAGCTACTCGGGGAGCTGGGATCACGCCACTGCACTCCAGCCTGGGAGACAGAGCAAGACTCTGTCTCAAAAAAAAAAAAAAATTGTAGATTGTATTTCATTTTTATTTTTCATTGATATTTTATTTTTATTTAGCTTAGTAACTTATTTACTAAGTGGCATGCAAGAGGCCACTGTCAATGTCAGCTCTAACGGGAATTCTACAGTTAAGTTAAGCAAGGAAACTAAAATGAACTGATCTATTGAGCAGACAGTGATGTAACTATATGAATTTATTTGAATGCTTCTCTAGTCAGTAGAGAGCAAATAGTTTCAAGTTAACAGAACTTTTCTGAGGCAGGATAAATGTTTAACTTCATGCCCCTGTATGTGTTGGAGAACTGAGGCAACTTGCTGTGGGTGTATGGGGTTTGTGTTACACTTGCCAATATGAGCTCTGGGCCAAGTGTGACAAAGTGATTTTGGGATTTCTGCAGACTCACGTCAGTGATAGCTCAACATTTCTATCCTTTCTTTTACTCTTTTGATTTTGCTAATTTTCAAGTATTATAATTACTACCTCCTCCTTCATTGTTTTCGTGAGGAGTATCTTGTCCCATCCTTCCCTACCCTCCCCTGGCCCCCATTTCTGCTATATCCCAGATGCGTAGGGTTTGGCAATTACATTTTGGTGGTGGGATTGGGGGTTTAAGCTATATATGGTGGTCTAAAGTGGCCTGGTGCAATTTCTAAATTGTGGGCCTTAAACTTAAATTGATGCCATTCACTCTTTTTTACCACTTGGTTTATTATTTGTGTTTGTAGTATTTGAGTTACTGTTCATTAAAAATATTATGCATGGTTGCTGTGATCTGTTACTCTTAGAAACAAAAAAGCACCATTGAAATTGATTGCAAGCCTTTTTCTAGGCCCCTTCTTAGGAATTCCCTGGATGATCTTGTCGGGCCACCTTCCAACCTGGAAGGCCAGAGTGATGAAAGAGCATTATTGGACCAGCTGCACACTCTTCTCAGCAACACAGATGCCACAGGCCTGGAAGAAATTGACAGAGCTTTGGGAATCCCTGAACTTGTCAATCAGGTGGGTTGCATTAACATGGAAGTAGGAGAGTGTGTATTTGTGTGTGTGTGCGTGCATGCGTGTGTGTGTACAAATTCATGAAGCCACAAACAAGAATACCTGTGTGTGTCTTTCCTAGTACTTGTGTTGTATTACTACATTCGTGGACACCAGCATTAAATTTGGAAAATATACTTTTTTGGTCTCAATTCATATGTTAAAATGGAAAATATACTTATGATTGTGATATTACTTTCAACACCCCACTATTTTTGGCAGTTGTAGAAATGATTTAGTGAAACTACTAAAGTGTGACCTTTTATTCATGTTAAAAGTTCTCATTTTTATAACTATCTTTCTCTACTACTTAGCCAAGCCATGTGTATTCTGATGAGGCAAGCTTTTTTTTTTTTGTTTAAACAATACTTGTTTACAATGGCCAATCTGAACATCCTAACATCATCATTTCCTGTTCCTGTTTACATACCCAGCCTTATGAAAACATGCTATTCAGAAATCTGTATTTCTGAAAGACACATTCTGTAGTGACTGTTTTTTCTTTTTTGAGTCGGAGTCTCGCTCTGTCACCCAGGCTGGAGTACAGTGGCGCAATTTCAGCTCACTGCAACCTCCACCTCCAGGGTTCAAGTGATTCTCCTGCCTCAGCCTTGCGAGTAGCTGCAATTACAGGCACCCGCCACCATGCCCGGGTAATTTCTTTTGTATTTTTAGTAAAGACGGGGTTTTGCCATGTTGGCCAGGCTGGTCTCAAACTCCTGACCTCAAGTGATCCACCTGCCTTGGCCTCCCAAAATGCTGGGATTACAGGTGTGAGCCACCGTGCCCGGCCATGACTGTTTTTATTTAAAGGCTATGGAGGGGCCACTCTATAGGTTTGTGCATTCAACAGTAAGCAGGAAAGATCATCAGGGGCTATCAGTCGTTGTTGGGGAAATAGATATGTACATATGGAAGTACATTGCCATGCGGCAAATGCTGTCACAGTGCAGATGGGAAATGCTGAGCAGTTCTTGTGTACACCTTCGGGGATACCAGTGACATAGAACCTGGATTTTTTTTTGCACCTTCTTTAGAGCATTTGACTTCTGTTGCTTTCGTAGATGTTCTTCACTGTTCTTTTATGTGTTGTGTTTAAGGGACAGGCATTAGAACCCAAACAGGATGCTTTCCAAGGCCAAGAAGCAGCAGTAATGATGGATCAGAAGGCAGGATTATATGGACAGACATACCCAGCACAGGGGCCTCCAATGCAAGGAGGCTTTCATCTTCAGGGACAATCACCATCTTTTAACTCTATGATGAATCAGATGAACCAGCAAGGCAATTTTCCTCTCCAAGGAATGCACCCGCGAGCCAACATCATGAGACCCCGGACAAACACCCCCAAGCAACTTAGAATGCAGCTTCAGCAGAGGCTGCAGGGCCAGCAGGTAACCGGTCATGTGTTCTTCCCTCTGGCTTCTCCTTCTGTTGTTTTCAGACTGTGTTTCTCAGTGTTCTTACTACTGGTGCACTCTATCCCTGTCAACTAAAGAAATTATTTTTGTTTTACTTCTGTGTAAGGTTTTGTTTGTACAAATGGCTCCTTGTTAAGGAGTAGTTGTGTTGGAATTCGATACTATGAGAATATTCCATTTTACAAATTAAAAAGTAAAAAGTCAGGAAGGATTGCTCTTGGGGAAGAAAAATGTTACTTGATGACTTTGTAGTCTTAAAGGTAGATAAGTTTTTTTTGAAAAAAATCCTTACTACTAATAACCAAATACTTAAACCATCTTGATTTCAGCATTTTAAATGGAACCTCTTCTTTCTAGAGCTGTCTTTTAATATTCTAAAATATGACTTCTTACCCTATTGTTTTCTTAGTCCCCAAGAAATGTTTTAAAATTTAATTGTTTTTATAAATTGTTTATGTCTTGAGCATACTGAGTTATTAAATGTGGTGGAACCAAATCATATAAGTAGATGAATGCCTGAGTTTTTTTTTTTTTTTTTTTTTTTTTTTGAGGTGGAGTCTTGCTCTGTCGCCCAGGCTGAAGTGCAAGTGGCATGATCTTGGCTCACTGCAACCTCCACCTTCTGGGTTCAGGTGATTCTTGTGCCTCAGCCTCCTGAGTAGCTGGGGAGCCACCCAAATCTGGCTAGTTTTTGTATTTTTAGTAGAGACAGGGTTTCACCATGTTGACCAGGCCCATCTCCTGACCTCAGGTGATCCTCCTGCCTTGGCCTCCCAAAGTGCTGGGATTACATGCGTGAGCCACCGTGTACGGCCAAATGCCTGAGTTTGGAATCCAAAGAGCCAGAGACTCTCCATTGCATAAGTATTCTTAAAAGTCAGTTTAGGTACTCAGAAAAGCTGTGTTAGTGCATTCATTTTACTTTCTGCCATTTCTTTTCACTAAAAGTCATTTAGGGAAAGCTAATGGAGTTTATTCAGAATTCCTCTGATGAACTTAAAGGTATTTCCCCATGTGCCCGAATAATCCCAGAGAAAGCCTGACTTTATAAATCTTTTGAGTTTCTGCTGTGTGTGTATATATATAATTTATTTATGTATTATTATTTTTTCTGATACAGCGTTTCAGGGTGGAACGCAGTGGTGCAGTCACAGCTCACTGCAGCCTCGACCTCTCAGGCTCAGGTGATCCTTCCACCTCAGCCTCCCAGGTAGCTGGGACTACAGGAGTGTGCCATCACTCTTGGCTAATTTTTTGTAGAGATGGGGTTTCTCCATGTTGCCCAGGCTGATCTCAGACTCTTGGGCTCAAGTGATCTGCCCACCTCAGCCTCTCAAAGTGCTGGGATTACAGGTGTGGAGATATTCTTTAAGCTACAAAATTGCACTTTACCTTTTTTTCCCCAATGCCAAACAGTAGCCCATCATATGCTAGCCTAAGACTTTTCAACACTGACCTTTTTGCATTGTGAAAGTACTAGTTTAGATGTGACTTAGCCAGGTTATTGTGTTTGGAGATATCATTACCTCATTGGCTGGTGCTGAGGGTCTGGAAAGCTGTGTTGGCAGACTGACATGTTCTCCTTGCATTCTAACCAACTTGTCTCACCTCAGTTTTTGAATCAGAGCAGACAGGCACTTGAATTGAAAATGGAAAACCCTACTGCTGGTGGTGCTGCCATGATGAGGCCTATGATGCAGCCCCAGGTGAGGATGATGAGCCTCTCCACATGCATTGCTCTGTGCTCAGGACAGGGCTTGGCCTGTGGTTGACTCTTAGTAAATGTTTGTTAAACAAATGAAGGTAATTCTGAATTTCTTGTGTAAGAAAGCAGTCGTATTAAAGACTTTCAACTCTTCCATTCTTCTCTCTGGCTGGTGACTGGGAGGAATCAGAGGAGGGAGAGGTTTCTTCATTAAAACCATAGATTAGGCCGGGCTCGGTGGCTCAAACCTGTAATCCCAGCACTTTGGGAGGCCGAGACGGGTGGATCACGAGGTCAGGAGATCGAGACCATCCTGGCTAACACGGTGAAACCCCGTCTCTACTAAAAAATACAAAAAACTAGCCAGGCGAGGTGGCGGGCGCCTGTAGTCCCAGCTACTCAGGAGGCTGAGGCAGGAGAATAGCGTAAACCCAGGAGGCGGAGCTTGCAGTGAGCTGAGATCCGGCCACTGCACTCCAGCCTGGGCAACAGAGCGAGACTCCGTCTCAAAAAAAACAAAAAACAAAAAACACAAAACCATAGATTAGTGTTTTTTTAATTGGTTCCCTTTGTGATCGGTTGCTATACTGTGAGAACAGCTATCACATGGCTTTTTTTGGAATTTAAAATAACCTGTAAATGTTCCTCTGTTCCTGGATTATGAAACAACATGCACACTGGGTAAAATTCTGAAATTATAAAGAAGAAAATAAAGAATACATAATCCTGTTCTCAGTGATAGCCTCTGAGATGACCTGTTTCCTGTAGTAGGAGGGGATATTAAAATTCCCTTCTACTTCTAGCCAGTGGTGGAGACAGTATTGAGGGGTTTTCTTAATGTGCATGAGGCAGATGACCACACAGCAGTCCCCTACTGTGGTTTGAAATATTGTTTATAATTGTTTTTTTAAAAACAACTGTGAAATGCTCGATTTTCATTGTCTTATGCCTACTTGGAAGTACTGATATTTACATTTTCTTGATAATGAAACCTCTTGTGGAAGCTGAGCTAGAATGCCCTACAGAAAGATGATAAAAGTTTGCTTTTTGGAGATGATCCGTAGCTAGTAGAGCCCAAATCAGCTTCCTTGTTGTACTTTGGTTATGTCACCTTCTGAACCTCCAGACAGCTTCTCCTTGCCTCCTACCTCTTTCTGAAAGTTTAAAGAAAGTACAAGATTTTCTGAGGTGGACCCCTGCTATCTAAGTATAACCCCATCTTTTTGTTTGTTTGTTTGTTTCATGTTTTAGCCCTCCACCACCCCAACACACTGAATCCTCATTTTCCTGTAGTTGTCCTTCATAGTTCCTGAAAAAGTTGTCTTCAGATTCTACCTCTAAATGTTCTCTCACGTTGTGGAATGTTTCTGGTCATGTTAAAGCTTGACAGTGTGTCTTTTGTCTTTTTTTTTTTTTTTTTTTGAGACAGAGTCTCGCTCTGTCGCCCAGGCTGGAGTGCAGTGGCCGGATCTCAGCTCACTGCAAGCTCCGCCTCCCGGGTTCACGCCATTCTCCGGCCTCAGCCTCCCGAGTAGCTGGGACTACAGGCGCCCACCACCTCGCCTGGCTAGTTTTTTGTATTTCTTAGTAGAGACGGGGTTTCACCATGTTAGCCAGGATGGTCTCGATCTCCTGACCTCGTGATCCACCCGTCTCGGCCTCCCAAAGTGCTGGGATTACAGGCTTGAGCCACCGCGCCCGGCTTGTCTTTTGTCTTTTAACCCCAAATAATTTTCAGGTCCTTCTTCAGTTCTCCCTCCCTCCTTCCCCCTGCAATAGCCAGAAAACTTCTTTTTTTTTTTTTTTTTGAGAGTCACTGTTGCCCAGGCTGCAGTACAATGGCACGATCTCAGCTCACTGCAGTCTCAATTCCTTGGGTTTAACGGATTTTCCTGCCTCAGCCTCCCAAGTAGGTGGGATTACAGGTGCTCACCACGGTGGCTGGCTAGTTTTTGTATTTTTAGTGTAGACAGGGTTTCACCATTTTGGCCAGGCTGGTCTCGAACTCCTGACCTCAAGTGATCCCCCCCGCCTTGGCTTCCCAAAGTGCTGGGATTACAGGCGTGAGCCATTGCACCAGGTCCGAAAGCTTTTATGTAAAGAATTGTGTGTTTTGGCCGGTGCAGTGGCTCACACTTGTAATTTAAGCACTTTGGGAGGCTGAAGCAGGTGGATCACCTGAGGTTAGGAGTTTGAGACCAGCTTCCCTAACATGGTGAGGCACCATCTCTACTAAAAATACACAAATTAGCTGGAGTGGTGGTGCATGCCTGTAATCCCAGCTACTTGGGAGGCTGAGGCAGGAGACTCGCTTGAACCTGGGAGGTGAAGGTTGCGGTGAGGCAGGATTGTGCCACTGCACTCCAGCCTGGGCAACAGAGTAAGACCCTGTTTAAAAAAAAAAAAAAAAAGACCCTGGGTGTTTTCTGTCTTATACCTGGTGTATTGTGGGGGTACTGTATGTATGCAACTGGCAGGTTCTTGCTATGTATATGTAATTGCACTCTTTCTTGGGTATTAGCAGGGTTTTCTTAATGCTCAAATGGTCGCCCAACGCAGCAGAGAGCTGCTAAGTCATCACTTCCGACAACAGAGGGTGGCTATGATGATGCAGCAGCAGCAGCAGCAGCAGCAACAACAGCAACAGCAGCAGCAGCAGCAGCAGCAGCAGCAGCAGCAGCAGCAGCAGCAGCAAACCCAGGCCTTCAGCCCACCTCCTAATGTGACTGCTTCCCCCAGCATGGATGGGCTTTTGGCGGGACCTGCAATGCCACAAGCTCCGCCGCAACAGTTTCCATATCAACCAAATTATGGTAAATCTGACGGTGTAAATATGCCTTCTCCAAGTTAACATTACTAAGGACATAAGCTTCACTACATTTGTTGCACATGAAAGAAAAAAATACGATTCACTCCCTCTTTACTTCACAAGGAAAACAAAGTTAATTTAAACTATTGGAAAACAAAAATGCTGCAGCACACAGGTAATTGAGACAGGTGTATCCTGTCATAGTTGAGTATTTTTTTTCAGGTGTTGTTTTTTTCAGTCCCACTCATTAAGAGTCCCCAAACTCTTAATTTGGAAGAAACACTGCAAAGTTGTCCCCCTTGCCCCTTCTTACATGTTCCAGTATAGTAGAACTCTCTGATCTCTGAATGCTTGGTCAAGTCAGTGAGAGGAATGCACTTTGTGGACTTTTACGTTGATTTTCTAGGTGACTTGGATTTATTATTATTTTTTTGAGATAGGGTCTTGCTCTGTCACCCAGGCTGGAGTGCAGTGGTGCAATCTTGGCTCACTGCAACCTCCGCCTCCCAGGTTCAAGTGATTCTCCTGCCTCAGCCTCCCGAGTAGCTGGGACTACAGGTGTATCACACCATCCCTGGCTATTTTTTTTTTTTGAATTTTTAATAGAGACGGGGTTTCACCATGTTAGCCAGGATGGTCTCGATCTCCTGACCTCGTGATCTGCCTGCCTCGGCCTCCCAAAGTGTTGGGATTACAGGCGTGAGCCACCGCGCCGGGCCCTGGATTTATTATTAATTACAGTGATGCAGATACCTCTTCAGTTCAGCCTTTGAGAGGTTCCAGGAACATGGTGGGGATAAAGGTGTCTACTGGGGAGCCCTGTCATCTGAGGATTGTAACTCCCCTGCCCTTTAAAGAGGGATGGAGTGATGTGAGTTCATACGGAGTCCGTTTTCTGCAGAAAGCCCATTGAAGCAACTGTGACCTTTCAGTGATCCAGATGGTGCTCCTTTCTGTAGTAAGCCTGTTACTCTAGTTGTCATCTTGGTGAGAGTCTAGAATACCTGGGGGGCAGCATCTTATAGCACTCTGTATCTTATACTTATCACCTTATACCCTCCACCCTCCCCCGCTTTAAAAAAAAAACATAAAACTACTACAGAAATCTGATACTCTAAGGAGAAGGCATTTGGGCATTTTTATTTCTTCTGTTTTATTTTTGTAAGGAATGGGACAACAACCAGATCCAGCCTTTGGTCGAGTGTCTAGTCCTCCCAGTGCAATGATATCGTCAAGAATGGGTCCCTCCCAGAATCCCATGATGCAACACCCCCAGGCTGCATCCATCTATCAGTCCTCAGAAATGAAGGGCTGGCCATCAGGAAATTTGGCCAGGAACAGGTAAAGAACAGTGACTTCTAAAGTTAGTCACATCTTAGTCCCAGAAGTCCAAGAACTTACTGTAATTTTCAGTCAAGCCTTTTTGTATGGAGAGATTGAAAGGACTGGGTTCATATTAGAAGGTGTGTTATTTGGCTTGGCCATTTTGAGAGTTCTTCAAGCATGCACATTATCTATTAGGGTATCTAGTACAGAAAGCTGTGAAAAATGGATCACAGGCTGTCAGGGAGTTTTCTCTCTGGCATTCCCAGCTTAAGTATAGCAATGTTTGACACAATTGTAGTAGTTTCTGTGGGCATGCCCTTTGTCACTAAAGTGACTTCCAGAGGTAATATTACCGTTTCTTTACTTACAGCTCCTTTTCCCAGCAGCAGTTTGCCCACCAGGGGAATCCCGCAGTGTATAGTATGGTACACATGAATGGCAGCAGTGGTCACATGGGACAGATGAACATGAACCCCATGCCCATGTCTGGCATGCCTATGGGCCCTGATCAGGTATGAAATTGATTCCTTACCTTTTTCAAAAAGTTTTTCTTGTTCTCTGGATAGAACTAAAGCCTCAGCTATAATCAGAATGTCCTAGGTATATTTTAACTTGAATGTATAACTTTAAATATAGTAATTGAAAAAACTTGGTTTGAAGGCATTGGGCCATTGGATACTTTTGGTAAGTCAAGCTGCATTGTAAGATGGGATCTCAGGAACCTGAATCACTCAGCCAGAGCTGCACTGTAAGCCATGAATGTGGGCATGGATTTTTTTGTTGTGTAAAGCATGTGTTTTACTCAGTTTTTCTGGTTGCTAACAGAAATACTGCTGACATCTCTGCACCAGGACCTCTTAAGGAGACCACTGTACAAATGACACTGCACTAGGATTATTGGGAAGGAATCATTGTTCCAGGCATCTATCTTTGAAGAAAGGACCAGCTTTGAGCTCCATCAAGGGTATTTTAAGTGATGTCATTTGAGCAGGACTGGATTTTAAGCCGAACAGCAGTATCTACCTGTTTTTTTTCTCCTCTCCTCCTGCTGTGTATCATGGTGTTCAAAACAGAAATATTTTTTGGCATTCCACCTCCTAGGGATATAATTCTGGAGATATGGAGTCCTACTGATCATAAAACTTTTGTGTCACTTTTTTCTGCCTTGCTAGCCAAAGTCTCTTAAATACACATAGGTGGGCCAGAGAACATTGGACAAATCAAGAGAGATTAGAACATCTGGTTTCTCTAGTTGCAGTATTGGACAAAGAGCATAGTCCCAGCCCTCAGGTGTTTTTGTCACTACCAAGTAGTTCTGTGTTGACCCTCTGTCCAGTGGAATTGGTGATTCTGAATTGTCCTTTACTGATGGTGTTGAGTTGCTCTGTCCCTATTATTTGACCTAGGTTTTCTCCTAATGAAGGTTTTCATTTGCCGTTCATGTCCTGTAATACTTCACCTCCAGGAACTGTCATGGATGTCCAAATGGCTTTGCAGAAGGGAAATGAGATGACAGTATTTAATTGCAGCAGTAGCAAACTTTTCACATGCTAATGTGCAGCTGAGTGCACTTTATTTAAAAAGTAATGGATAAATGCAATATTCTTGAGGTCTTGAGGGAATAGTGAAACACATTCCTGGTTTTTGCCTACACTTACGTGTTGGACAAGAACTATGATTTTTTTTTTTTTTTTTTTTTTAAAGTACTGGTGTCACCCTTTGCCTATATGGTAGAGCAATAATGCTTTTTGAAAATAAACTTCTGAAAACCCAAGGCCAGGTACTGCATTCTGAATCAGAATCTCGCAGTGTTTCTGTGAATAGACTTTTTTGTAAATACGACCTTTAAGATATTGTATTATGTAAAATATGTATATACCTTTTTTTGTAGGTCACAACAACTCATTTTTACAGAGTTTGTGAAGCTAAATATTTAACACTGTTGATTGCAGTAAGCTGTGTGTGGAGAGGCTACCAGTGGAAGAGACACCCCTTGACTTCCGTGGCCTGGCGGAGACGTAGTGCTCCCCAGCTTTTCCTTCCCCACCCCCCGGCCTTAGATGCCTCCTCGCTTTTCAATCTCTTAATCTAAATGCTTTTTAAAGAGATTATTTGTTTAGATGTAGGCATTTTAATTTTTTAAAAATTCCTCTACCAGAACTAAGCACTTTGTTAATTTGGGGGGAAAAGAATAGATATGGGGAAATAAACTTAAAAAAAAAATCAGGAATTTAAAAAAATCGAGCAATTTGATTGAAGAGAATCTTTTGGATTTTAAGCAGTTCGAAATAATAGCAATTCATGAGTTGTGTGTGTGTGTGTGTGTGTGTGTGTGTGTGTATGTTCAATTATGTTACCTTTTCATCCCCTTTAGGAGCGTTTTCAGATTTTGGTTGCTAAGACCTGAATCCCACATTGATCTCGAGTAGAATCCTTGGTGTGGTTTCTGGTGTCTGCTCAGCTGTCCCCTCATTATACTAATGTGATGCTTTCATTATGTCCCTGTGGATTAGAATAGTGTCACTGTTACTCCTTAAGGAACTCAGTACCCAGAACAGCCAGTTTGACTGTGATTCAGAGCCACAGTCTAACTGAGCACCTTTGAAACTCCTCCCTTTTCTGCCCCCTGCCACTTTCTGCTGTTGCCTCTCTTTGACACCTGTTTTAGTCAGTTGGGAGGAAGGGAAACATGAAGTTTAATTCCCTTTATCTGGGTTACTTCATTTGGTTCAGATAGTTGAAGGAATTGGGTTTCTGAATGTCTGTGAATTTCAGAGGTCTCTGCTAGCCTTGGTGTCATTTTCTAGCAATAACTGAGAGCCAGGTAATTTTAAGAATTTCACACATTTAGTCAGTCTTTCTAGATGTCTCTGAAGGTAAGATCATTTAATATCTTTGATATGCTTACAAGTGAATCCTGATTATTTCCAGATCCACCACTAGAGTGGATCTTATTTTCAAAGCAGTATAGACAATTATGAGTTTGCCCTCTTCCCCCCACCAACTTCAAAATATATCTTAAGATTGTAAATCTGGAAACTTCCATTGTAGTGGCCTGTGCTTTTCAGATAGTATACTCTCCTGTTTGGAGACAGGTACAACCAAGTCAGTCTGTCTCTGTGTTTTTCAGCTCAACTGTGTCTGAACCTTCTTTAAGTGATGTGTGTGGGGAGAAACAGAATGGTGCTCTTACCTTTCTTGACTTTAAAAAAATTATTAAAAAAAAAAAATAAATTTTTTTGCAATCCTTTCCTCAGACCTGGCTGCAGGCTAACTGGAAGGCAGCACTCCCTTTTTTATATGGTAGAAAAATGAAGTTTATTATAAGTTTTTATATTTTCTACTTGTTCATTTGGTGCAAACTCAAGATTTTGATTTTCTTTTAATAGGTGCAGTCTTTGAGATAATTTGTTTTTACCTGTATTGCCCTTTATCTTTTTTAGATAATTCTTTGTACTCCTGCTACCTCTCCACACCCCAGCACCCCCCCCATTTTTTCAAACCTTGGTATCTGTTGGGTGAACAGTATAATCTTTTCATCTGCTTTTAGAATGTGGGATATTTCCAGTACCTACTTTTTTTTTTTTTTTTTTTTTGCTGAATCCAAAGATATATAAACAAAATATATATATTTTATAAAGATTAGAATGATATAAAGGAGATACATGTTTCTTCCTTTAAAAAATAAATGGAAGTTACATTGTTAATGTTCGTATTATGATGCCACTTTTCTAAACTGCATCTGGATTGAAAGGTGTAAATATCAATAACAGTGCTACTTAGTTATCAGTATTTAATATCTGAGGTGAGTTGGGGGTATCTATATTAGGGGTAGGGTATTACAGAAGATAATTGGCTTGATGTCCTAGAAGTTCTTTGATCCAGAGGTAGGTGCAGCTGAAAGTAAACAGAATGGATTGCCAGTTACATGTATGCCTGCCCAGTTCCCTTTTTATTTGCAGAAGCTGTGAGTTTTGTTCACAATTAGGTTCATAGGAGCAAAACCTCAAGGACTGATTTAATCAGAGGAATAAGAATTGTTTTCAACTCCAGGGGCACACTGTTAATAAACGAGCAGGTGTTTTCTCTCTTCCTTTCTAATATATGGAATTTTGAAGAATGAAATATGAGAGCAATATTTAAATTCTCAGGAATTGACTTATACTCTTGAGAATGAATTCAGTTTCAATCAAGTTTACATTGTGTTGCTTTAAAAAAAATAGAAATTATTCTTTATCCTGCAAAGAATCGAAACCACATGAAATGACTTATGGGGGATGGTGAGCTGTGACTGCTTTGCTGACCATTTTGGATGTCATTGTAAATAAAGGTTTCTATTTAAAATTGGAGCCTAAAGAGTTTTTTGTTTTTTTTTTTTTTTGAAATCCCTGTTGGATTAAGGGTAAAGAAGATTAAGGAAGTTATTTCAAATAATAGTAACAGTTTCTGAAGTTAAAAAACGCCACTAGGGAGTTGCTAGAGAGCCTTGGCCTGTTGGGGGCATTGAAACAAATGTGGGTGCTTTAGGGATTATCTCTGTCATCTGTTAAATGAGAAATGGGTTGGATTGGTGATAGCTGAAATCTGTCAACTACTTGTATCAGGTTAGATGACCTGATATACAAAGAAGGGTTGGCCAAGGTGAATTTCTTTGCAATTGATTAATACTTTTAAAAAATGAAGTAGCAAAGCTGGTATACTATGAGACTTACCTGTAGTCCCTTGAAGTGTGGTAGACTTTAGTCAATCTACAACCATCTACTCCCCTTTTAAGAAAATCTTCTAAACCCAAAGGCATTTTCTTCCAAAAAGATGTTGACTGGTAGTATCTTGAATACTTTAAAAAAACAGACACACCAAAAAACTCCCAAGAAATGGCCTTTTACAAAATGTCAAAGGTTTCTTCATACCAACTGCTGGTCATTGGCTGGGGTTTTGAACACTGTATGACAATACTTATACTACAAAATTTTTTTTACAAATACAGTTTCATCAAAACTTGGGACATACATCAACTTCTTTTCAGTACCTTAAAAAAAAAAAAACATCAGTTCTGGGACATAACAAAGAAATACTAGGAGAAACGGTATCTGGACAGGAACAGAAATGTCCACAACTGCGAGGGATTTTCTTTTACACTGGCCACAGAGCGTTTATTGACACCACCACTCCTGAAAATTGGGATTTCTTATTAGGTTCCCCTAAAAGTTCCCATGTTGGTTACATGTAAATAGTCACATATATACAGTGAAGGCAGTTTCTTCAGAGGCAACCAGGGTTTAGAGTGCTAGGTAAATGTCATCTCTTTTGTGCTACTGACTCATTGTCGAATCTGCACTGTTTTCAGCCTCTCCACGTTGCCTCTGTCTTCTTAGTTCCTTCTTTGTGACAAACCAAAAGAATAAGAGGATTTAGAACAGGACTGCTTTTCCCCTATGATTTAAAAATTCCAATGACTTTCGCCCTTGGGGGAAATTTCCAAGGAAATCTCGCTCGCTCTCTTCGTTTTCCTTTGTGAGCTTCTGGGGAGGGTTAGTGGTGACTTTCTGATACGAAAAAAATGCATTTTGTGCAGCTGGTGAGGTATAATCCAAAGCAAAAGCAGGGGCAAAAATGGACTTCTTGAAGTTCTATCTGCTCCTGCTGGTTATCCTCCAGAACCTGCCATGTTGACTGAGAGTGAGTGCTTGCTTTCTCAGGTCTCCTGGCCAATAGCATAGGTCTGCTGGAAATCACCCACGTGGTTTTTCGTTGCCTGTGCAGTCAGTTGATGCCTCTGTGTTTTTGAAGGTCCACCTCTGTTGTTTCTTAACCTTCCCAGCCTTCCCACAGTTGTCCCCTAAAGAACGAAACAAACTCATCTTAGCATTTAGCTATCACGGTCTTTATCATGACTTCCTAATCAGTCCTATAGCTGAGGAAGCTTTGCTTCAAGGCTGCTGAGAATGAATATTTCTAGGTTACTTAGAAAGGGATTGCTACCACCTAGTCACCTCAATTTTTAGTTGTTTACTTATACACTCAATGCCTGGCAAGGATGGCATTTAAGGATCTGGATAGAATAGTGGCTAAGGAGATTGTGATATGTAAAGATTCTGTACCTTAATTCTAGAAGCACCAAAGAAAGGCTTAGGTGGCCTGTTACTAATGTCCTATTAAAGCCACTCAGGTTTATATGCATATAAAGGAATAAATGAGTAGACCAGAGGTGGCAAATGGCAGCTCACCAAGGAGGGTAGTTTGCCCACATGGTTAACTTAATGTCAAATGAGATGATAATGATAAAGAATTCTCACACATACCTGCATTTTTGGATTTGGTCAGTGAATTAGAAAATCTGGCAAACCTCAGCCCATTCCTGCGGGGAGCAAACTAGCCTGCTCCCTTTAGAATAGAGGTGAACTTTCCAGGTTGCCAGTCTCAGTCCCTGCCAGCCTCCAATGGCACTGGAGTGAGAGTCTGTAGCTGTAGCATGGGCTTTTTGGAAACCATTTAATGAGGCCATCCTACTGCTGATGTTGTATACCAGTTAGCACTTTTGCAGCCATAGCCTTCAAGATGCCTGGCAGTTTGTAATATTTAAATGCTTCTCAACCTCTAAGTAATAGCTCAAGTTTACCAAGCACAGATTATAGCGAGAACAGCAGTGTACTGGACAAGGCATTAATGTAAAACATGAAATGGATTCAAGTGTTTTCTTAGGGAAAGATGTGCATTAGTACTTCCCCGCCACCCTCATTATGAGAACAAATGAAGGATGGTATGTAAGAAATGGCATGCAAATAGAATAGCATTGGCAAAATGAAGCAGTCAGAACCAGATCTCTATTTGTAAGCTGGTTCCTCAACTCACAGTGATTTGGAAGAAGGTCTCTTCATTTCTGGCCACTTTCGACGCTGAAACTGCCTAAGTTTTCAAGTGTCAAAAGGAGAATGAATGTTAACCATCACCAAGAAAGAAAAAGTCCCCAAAGAACTATACAAAGAAGGTCTCCTAGGTGACAGCTATCTTTGGTGGGTGATCCTGGTCTCGGGCAGACCAGAGGAAGGGCAGTGTCTCAACATAACAGGTGCGGACTCACAGAGATGAGACTGAAGGATGGGCCAAGATAGGAGAACTTTGTTTAGGCTTTAATAATAAAAAGAAATACCTGTATTGCTCATAGCTTCCTCCATCTTTAAGTCCTAAATGAAGGAGAAATAATAAAAACAGGAGCAGATAGTTTAGGCAAAGCTACCCCAACACACCAGAAAACCATCTTACACTTTTTTGTCACAATCCCATGATGTTGATAGTATTCCCTATTCAAGAGTAGACGGAATTATGAGGGGAACCTGCCTTAAGTCTCCTAGGTAGCCTTGTAGATTGCCTAAAATCCAGAGTCACCACGATCAGTTTCAGGACCCTGATGGCTTCATTCAGTGCTGACCTTAGTCATGGTGAGGGAGGTAGACGCGGGCCTGAACATCTGTGCTCCAGAGGACAGAAAGCCAAGAGCCCTGACCAAGTGCAGGAGGGAGCAATAGCTCATGTTTACCAAGCACAGATTATAGCGAGAACAGCAGTGTACTGGACAAGGCATTAATGTAAAACACGAAATGGATTCAAGTGTTTTCTTAGGGAAAGGTGCATTAGTACTTCCCCGCCACCCTCATTATGAGAACAAATGAAGGGTGGTGTGGGCTCTGGGGAAGTTTTCCTGAGGACATGGCAGGATCGAGTGTGTGGGCTCTGGGGTCAGCCCACCTTGTTCACTTTACTCCTCCATAGAATGAGGATAAGAAGATTCACCTCAAAAGCTTATCAGCTAACACATGTAAAACGCTCAGCACACAGCCTGGCACACAGTGACTTATATGTCATTGCACTTTGATCACAAGAGTAGCAGCGCTTGAGTGGCAGAGGTTAGGAAGCCACTAGTGAAAATTCCAATCATATCAGGCTCCTCACCAGGAAGTATTAGTGCAACATCTTCTGTAAACACAGTAGCTCTGCCCTCTTCATAACTAGAGCTGACTGTGGCATCTGAATTCTTCCTCCTAAGCTGTGTGGCCATGTTCCTGACATGAACTCCAGGCGTCCTCCTAGACACAGTCCCTTCCCCAAGGGACTTCAGATATCAAAGGTTTTAGGCCACTCTCTCTCACCAGTAAGTGAACTTCATTTTTCTTTTAGCTTTAATTTTTTTTACTTTTATTTTTAGAGATGGGGCGACAGCTGTGTCTCCCAGGCTGGAGTGCAGTGGCGCTATCATAGCTCACTGTAACCTTGACCGCCTGGGCTCAAGTATCCTCCCCCCTCAGCCTCCCAAAGCCCTGGAATCATAGGCATGAGCCACCATGCCTGGTCAGCTTTTTTCATCTTAAAATTTCTATCTAGTTGGCATTTTAGATTTAAAACTGCAGATTTTGTCCTGTCCCAAACAAAACTCAGGATTTACCTGGGACTCCTAATCCTGCACCTCCCATCACCATATTCTACTGGGGGGCTTCACCACCTGAATCTGAAATCCATCATCTTCACTGCTCCCACCTCTAGTCCAAGCCACCATCATTTCTCCCTGGATAACTGTGCCATCTTCGCTGTTTGCTCCCATAAAGTCCCATTCTCCACCTAGCAATGCCAGTGCCCAGATTAAAACCCTCCATTGGCTTCCTGATACACCTCAAATGAAATCTAAACTCTACCATGGCCTCTCACAGGGTAGCCTGATGCCCTCCTGCCACTCTCCACTGGCCTCAGTTGTGCTGGCTGTACCACCTAGGCTGCTTTCTGCTCCTCACACTTCAAGTTTCCTGGAACGCCAGCCCTCCACGTTTTCTCAGTGGTCGACTGCGTCCTACTCTTCAGTACTCAGTTCAGAGGTCTGACCCTGGTTTTATTAAGTGGTGCCTTTCCCCAGTCACACTGGATTCTACCATCCAGTTTTACTCTTTCCATACAAGCCAGAGGCCTCCCGCTGTGGACTGCTCTTCTTAGGACAACACCGGCTCCACACAAGTCAGCCAGGATGGGGTCATCTTTAGTCACCATGGTTTCAGGTCTGAGTTCTCAGGAAATGTTTGTTGAATGCATGAGTGAACAAAAGGGAGGAAATGAAACGAGGGAATTCCGTGTGTTTCCTGGACAGCTGATGCAGGTGTTCCTCTCTCAGGAAGCACAGCTTGTCAAAGGCCATCTGCCTGCTCTGGACAGGGGCTCCCATGACTCGTCTGGAACTGCATCACCTCCCAAAGCCTGGTGATTTCGGGCTCATTCTTGGGGTAGACACCACCTCCTGAGTCCCTTCCTTTGGTTACCCTGCTCTCCAAAGGCCCTATGTTGCGGTGCCTACTCACCCAGGTCCATGTTTCGAGTCCGGGGGTTACACTGCTTGTAACCCTTGCAGCTCCTCAGCTCCATGAGCTGTACATGTAGCTGGTTGAGGACATCCCTGTCCAGTGTGTTCACTGCATTCATCAGCTAGTTGCAAAAAGGGTAGTCTGTCAACAAGGTAAGTACAGGGACTCTCCCCGTGCCCTTCTTCTACCAACCAGGGGACATATTTCAGGCAGGTGGAAGGTGCTAGGGGCTGGTGACCTGCTTACTCCAACTTCAACTTCTGCAAGAGCCAGCATTTGGAAGAGTTAGGTGACTTTTTGGCTTCGAGTCCCACCAGGTTCTCTCTTAATGAGAATGAAAACTCAGGAGAATAAACACCATGTCTGTCTGTATTTAATGTTGGAGTTCTGCAGCCACTAGTCAGGAGACTTCCCAAGCTCGGAAAGAAAGCCTTCCAAGTCTTGGTTTTATCAGCAGCCTTCATTCAGATTTGCAATCCTCCTGATTGCAAAGCAGCCATTTGATGAAAGGATGGGTAAGTGACTTGGGTTCTTGTGTAGTCTGGGAGCTACCGGTGACGGACTTAACCTACCCCTTTGGTAAAGTATGAGGGTGAACCTATCTAAGGAGAAAGACTGGACACCTATATAGTAATTAAAGCATTTGTGCTGCTGATATTTAAACATCAGATTTCATTTAAAAAATTATTTCAGGCTTTTCTTGAAAGGTCAAAGCCTGGGCAATACCAAGGCCACAGGACAGGAAAGCTCTAGTGCTGGAGCTCAGCAGTGACTGTCCCTGTACAAGGGCCCACATGTTCCGATGACCAGACATGTCACTGCTCCTTCTGGTCTTGTGTGGTCCTGAGCCACATGAGTCGTGTGTGTGTTTAGATGGCTTACTGTACGGAAGCACTTAGCAGAGTGCTTGGTGCAGTGTGTTACTGTTATATTAGCCGCGTGGTCCGTGCAGGCCCTGCAGTGGGTAATATCTGGCTTGATCCTACGGCTTGACAGTTTTAGGAGTCTTCACAAGTTCCGGCAAAGCCTGGTTGAATGCTGCATGTTAAGTTAGAGGGAAGAAGCCACATATATTACACACGCAGGGTGACGGAGGCAAAACGCAGGGTGATGGAGGCAAAAAAGGCTGATTGAACATGGAATCCCCCAATCTCAGCGGCTTCACAACTTACTCCCAGTGGCTCAGGGACGCAGTGGGACTTGGATAATTTGTCATGACTTCCTGAGGTTGGGGGGGTGCCTACCTGGCAGCACTGGGGTAACCCATACCCCCATCTCTCTAGCTCGGGTTGTCTGTACCTGGTAGGGGTCTGTGTTGAGATCAAAGTACTCTAGGAAGCCAGTTGCAAATTCACAGAAGAGGAAATTGTGAGTCTCGTTGATGGTCCTCATGCACCAGTACGTGTTATTGTTGGCGCTGGTGCAGGCACAGAAAGGCCCCACTGGCAAGGAAGAGAGAGCATGTCCTGAGTGCCTGCGGGAGGAAGCCCCATCTGCCAACAGTGATTCCCGTCAGGGACAGCCCCCGAAACCAGTTCATCAAATGCCAAGAGGCTGTCCCAAGCACTGTGGACCCCTGGTGTCGGGGACCCCCTTTCTGAGAGAGGTTTGAGTCACTTAAGTGGAGAAGTTTCTTGGCCCCCCGGGCCCCAGCCTGTCCACCTCTGCCCTGGGCTTGCTCACGTGTCCAGAAAGGCGCCGTCTGCCAGTGCTGGTTGTCGTGGGTGAAGCACGTGAGGCCTGGCATGCTGCACGTGTCGTTGTTCTGCAGGCGCTTGAGCAGCTTGCGGAGTTTCTTCTTGCGCTTCTGCTCCCGCAACAGCCACACCTTATCCTTCTCTTGCAGACCCTTCCTGTGGGCGCAGAGGGCCACACACGCCTTGGGCCTCTGAGGGATCAGTGACCCCGTGTCTCTGCTCTTCTTGTCCACCTAGGGGCTGGGCTGAGGCTTCTCCAACAGCCATGGGCATAGCAATTCAGGGTTCCAAGTCCCAGTGCTGATCCAAGGCAGAGCCGGGACTAGAACCTGGATCTTCTGTCATTCTACTTTAACTCCCAAGGGGGCACAGAGCTGGGGACAGAGCCAGGCAGCTACTGGGACTCCTGTTGGCATCCCTTTCCCCTCCTTCCTGTGTCCTGCCCTGCTTGGTGGAGTTGCCGCAACCCCTTTTACAGTGTTGATTGGGAAATAAGGCCTCTTTGAGGGCCACCGCAGACTTCCCAGGGAAGGGCCTGGACTTCTTTCCTTTTCTTCTGTATTTTAGCTTAAGGGAGGGCCACCTCCTCATGCTAGGCCTCTGCATCTCTTCCCCAGGACCTTAAGCTGCCCTTACCTGAAAGGATGCAGACTGGAGCCTTTGTGCTTGAGGCGGCCTTTGTGCTGGGTGTGGTAGCTGTAACAGACCCCCCCAGCCCCAGGCTTCAGGAGTGGCTCAGAGGGCTCCGCTGGCAGGTACAAACTGTGGTTTCTGGGACTCCCGTGTGTTGCTGCTGCCCCACTCCCCTGTTCCTCCTTCTGGGATGGTAGTGGGGAGGGTACAACCCTATCCCCAGGGCAGCAGGTACCTGCCTGGGTGGCTTCATTCTCCAGGCATGAGCCAGGACTCTTCCTGGGATTTTGCTAGACTTTAGAAGGTCGGGTTAGTTGTAATTTAGCCACGACTAGAAACTGGGCCTGGCTTTAGGTGCGTCAGCCTCAGCATCCTTTTTCCTTTCCTTTTGTGATGGTTAATTGTACACGTCAAAGCCTCAGCATCGTGAGGTTGGTTCCCTCACCGCCCTGCCTACTCACGCTTGGTCGGGGCCAGCACAGGGGAGCCTGTGTTTTGCAAGACTTTCTGGGAAGACGGCAGGGCTTCTGCAGCTGTGCTGTCCAGTGCGGGAGCCACTGGCCACAGGTGGCTACTTCAGTTTGAATTAAGCAAAATAAAAATTTCGGCTCCTTAGTGACACCAGCCACCACTTCAAGTGTGCACCAGCCATGCGTGGCACAGTGCAGACATAGCCCGTGTCCATCGGCACAGAATGTTCTACTGGACACAGCTGTTCTAGAGTTCAGTCCTTTGGGCCAGGGGATCCCTGAGCTGGGAACATGGACCTCAGACCACGTGGGGGATTTCTGAAAGGGCAATCGGCAGAGGCACGTTTCCGGCCTGGAGCCGGCTCTGCACAGCCAGCACGGGTCTCTTGCCAGCAGTACTGGAATCTGGGCGCCAGCCTGGCTGAGGAACGGTTCCGTGTGCCACACTGGCTGACAATAGGGATGTAAATTATGGATTTTTTTTTTTAATGCCATGAGGGGAGAAGATTAAAAAAGATTAAAAAAAAAAAAATGAAAGGGGTCAATCACGAGAGGGGATGAACTGAACTGTCCTGTAGGAGGGTGGGGTCTCAGATCCCTGTGCTACTGCCTCACCTGATTTTGTGACAGTCACATTCTTCTGGCCGCTTTTTCTTCAGGTGACCTCGGACTTCCCTCAGGTTCTTAATTTTGTTCTGCAGGGTTTCAATCTGAGGGAGGGGCAGGAGAGGAGGCCTTGAAACCTTTACGGCTGGACAAGAAAGGCTTGGCCTGGTGACCGCCCCCACGCTGCCGTGTCTGCTCAGCAGCGGCAGCCTGCCCTGCCCGGGCCCCAGGGCCAGCACCGGCGTGTTTGGGTGGGGAGGACTTGTTCTGCCTGCTGAAGGAAGCCCACCTTCCCCTCCGGCCAGCCCTTGCAAGGGAACCGAGTCCTTTTCCTGGCCTGGCCTGCGGAGGAACCTGCTGAGCCCCGACGGCGGCTCCAGTGTCTCCCCTGGGCTTGATGAAAGGCCTCATCATAGCGTAGACTTCTTGTAAGTCAAAAGGGGGACAACGTGGCTAAGCCATCCTCCCTCAGACAGACTGGGCAGCAAGTTGTCTCATGTTGGGACTGACGCCTATCCCTGGGTGGAGGAATCTGTGGGGACCTCACTTCACCTCTCCAGCCCCTTCCCTGGGTCTGGCCTCACTGCCCTCCCACCATAAGCCGGGGGTCCTGCCAGGCCCTTGGTGGCTGATGGCACGCTCCTCTCCCGCTCTCCACTCACCTCGTGGTCGATGTGCAACTTGTGGTCCTTCCAGGCCTGCAGGGACTTGTACAGGTCCAGGTCACACTGGACTGTATCGTTCTCTAGGATATAGCACCTGCTTGAGAGAAGGGATCACGTGTGGCTCAGAGGAGGTGGAGGGGGCCCAGCCCAGGGGCTCAAGAGGTGTGGGAAGCCCCTGCTGAGGTCTGTCCTGTCCCCTTCACCCTCGACTTCCACCTGGACACTCACCGATGTGTCACTTTAATGGGGTTGGCAGCTGAGTAGTCAGGAAGGCCTCCGGTGCCACTGAAGTCCCCTCCATCCTTGTCATCTTGGTCCTCAGGGGCCCCTGGCCAGTGCCGCTTGGTGAGGTTTCGGGGCTGGGCAGCATCACCCAGGCCTACGTGGTACACCCTGCCGTCCACCTCGATGGCCACTGAGCGGATGGAGCGACTGCGGGCATAGCTGGCCTTGTACTCTGTGGGCATCAGAGGGGTGGCGGAGTTAGGGAGGCGGGAAAGGCTGGCCAGGCTCCCTGGGCAGTGGGTCCTTCATTAAGATAGGGCCGGGCTTCCAAGCAGGAGGCTCAGCTTTGCCTGTGACCTGAGGGGTTGTGAAATCTACCCGCCTGCTCGGACCGCAGGGGAGGGCCTCAAGGCGATCACGCCGGCAAAACTGAAGTCCTGGAGCCAAGAAGCCACTGACTCTAGAGGATTTCAAGCAAGAGCTGCTTGCGGGTAAACAAATGGCGGTACATCATCTGTACGACGGAATATGCGACCAGAACCAGAAGTGAGGTTCTGATTCACGCTAGAGCGCGGATGAATGTCAAAAGCATGTTGGGAGAAAGCAGCCAGACACAAAGTGGGCTCATATTGTTACATTCTATTTATAGGAACTACCCAGAATGGGTAAAATCTATAGCGGCAGAAAGAAGACTGGTGGTTGCCAGAGGCTGGGGGAGAGGGCAGTTGAGGAGTGATTGCTTTGTGGGTACAGGGTTCCCTTTTGGGGCGATGTTTTAGAACTAGGTAGAGGTGTGCAACACTGTGAACCTATTAAATGTCTCTGCATTGTATACAATTGTAAAAATGGTAAGTTTTATGTTATCTGAACTTCACCTCAATTAAAAAGGAAAAAAGTATCATGGATATAAAAACGTTGATTTAAACAGGGGAAAAAGGGGCCCTGCAGTGCCTGTCTCTGGGTATATATGGACGGGGACTGGGGAAGCCACTTAGCTTCTGTGAGTCCCAGTGAGCTGGAGGCTGCCCACCAGGTGGTAGGCAGGTGCCAGGTGGGCCGGCGACAAGGCCGAGAGGGGCTTTTGCATACGCTCCGACCCTGAAAACTCAGGCGTGCAGGCTGAAGTGACACCCCAGGTAGCCTGTATCTTCTATGTCTCAAAACCAAATCTGAGTTGGTGAGATTAAAGAAAAAGGGAGGTGGTGGCGGTGATGTAGGGATCCAGATTTCCAGCTTCCGGAAAGGAGACATGTCTCACAGGCCCACAGTTCCATATGGTCAGGACGGGCCGGAGACGGGCGGCCCCTCTGGCTGCCCACTGTCGTCCCTGTTGGCCAGAGCCCCCGTCACTCCTTTCTGTTTTAAATCTCTGCCCACCTGACACAAGTGTGGCCTCAGCATGCATGCACTGCAGTTGTCATTCTTCTCCAGATGTGCCTCATTTAAAGAGAAGGGCCTGGAGCCAGTTAGTGGCCCAGGTTTTGTTGGATCCCACCAAGGAGGACCAGCTGGAGGCAGGTGGTGGCGGAAGGCGGTGGAAGAAGGAAGGAAAGGGCTCCCTTTCCCACATGGCCACTCTTGGGGGATGTTTTGTATCTTTTAATTCTCAGACACCTTGCATCACAGTCACAAGGGCCGAAGGATCCTAAGGGGAGAGGGGAGGCCTCCCCTCTCCGGCAAAGCCTTGGGCCTTTCTCCTGGGCACTTCCTTCCCTCGGTTGAGTCTCTCGACGCGTGTACACAAAGAGCCGAGGATGCTCCCTGTGCCGAGCAGGTCCTGCCCCGAGGCTCAGGAAATGGACCCAGCGTGTCCTCTTCACTCCTTTAGTCCCAGTCAGCTTATGAGTGAGTGGCGTTGTCTCTTTCCACCCTCCATCTCCCAGCTCTAGACTCAGGGGTCCCTAAACCATGGCCTAAGGGCCCAGGCCAGCCTCCATCTGTCTTTGCGAATACAGTTTCACTGGGTACAGCGGCTCGCGTTCACTTACACCTCTGCAGTTGCAGGGCTGAGTCGCAAAGCCCCCGACCTTTACTCTCCGGCCCTTCACAGCCGCGGTCTGCCGGTCCTGTGTGATTCCTCTCCTGTACCGAAGGCACACGACCTGCTCTCCCTGTCTCTCTCACTGTGTCCATGTCCAGAGTCCCGGAGGTCCCCTTCCTGCCACACCAACAGGGCATGGGACAGGACTTCATAAGCCGGTGGCCAAGAGCTTTGACTCTGCAATCGGATGGCTGAGGTGCAAACCCCTGAGCACATGTGTGGCCCCGGCGATTTGGGTAACTTCTTAGGATGGTGCCTACCCTACAAGGGCTCCTTGGAGGATGGCACGAAACACAACTACTGAAGCATTCATGCCTGATGAGCTGGTATGGACCAGCTACTGCAGGGGGTGGGGACTCTGCCTGCAGCTGACGTCCTCACCTAAGGTGATGCCGCGCAGCCCCGAAACCTCACCATTACGCCCGCTCCCTGCCTTTCCATGCCAGTGACCCCCTGTGTGATGTGGCTGCCCGTGCCTACTGTGCTTCTCACCACTCTTGGCCACACCGGTCACCTCTCTGTGGCTGGGACCCCCCACACTCATTGTGAGTACAGGGCCTTTGTACCTCATCTTCCTCCTCCTCAGGACACTTGTTCTCTGGCTGGTCACAAGGCTTGCTCCTTTCTGTACAGGTGAGGATCACGGGGCCGCCGAGAGGCGCGGGTCCCGGCTCTGACATTACACTCACATGAGGATTCTGACCAGGGCTGAGCTGACTCTCGGCTACTTTTACGTATTTTTCTTTCCTCTAAGCATTAATAAGGGGGAAAACAGCTGAATCTCTCCCTGCAAGATGTTGTATTATTTAAAGATTATCGACTGTGCCACATACTGAAGCAAGGAGATGCTGGCTGTGTAATCCAATCTGGAAACCAATCATCCTATTCAGCTAGAAAAGTTAATGCAGTAGTTCCTAATCAGCTGGTGAGGAAAGGCACCAGAGGATCATCAGCTGGGAAGCGTTGTTTGCGGCAGTGGCTGGGCTGTTACGGAAAGAGACTTATCTGCTCCACGATGAGGACATTTGCTGCCTGGCCGGATGGCCCAGAGGAGACCACCGCGTCTGCCGTCGGAGACCTTGATCCTCAATCTCTAATTAGTCTGTGGCACAATATCATCCATCTTATAAAGAAAGGAATTTTTTTTTTTTTTTTTTTTTTTTTTTTTTTTAGACAGAGTCTTGCTCTGTCACCCAGGCTGGAGTGAAGCGGCGTGATCTCAGTTTACTGCAACCTCCTGTTCCCAGGTTCAAGCCATTCTCGTGCCTCAGCCTCCTGAGTAGCAGGGACTACAGGCGCCCACCACCATGACTGGCTCATTTTTGTATTTTTAGTAGAGACGGGTTTCACCATGTTGGACAGACTGATCTCGAACTCCTGAGCTCAGGCAACCTGCCTGCCTCGGCCTTCCAAGATGCTGGGATTACAGGTGTGAACCACTGTGCCCGGTCAGGAAGGAGATTCTGACACAGGCTACCATGTGGATGAACCTGGAGAACATTATGCGAAGAGAAAAAAGCCAGCCACAGAAGGACAAATACTGTACAATTCCACTTACATGAGGCCCCTAGAGCAGTCACGCTCATAGAGAAGTAGAAGAGTGGTTGCTGAGAATGGGGTGGGAGAAGGGGTGAGAGCTGGGTGGGAGAGCAGGATGGGAGAGTGGGGTGGGAGAGCGGGATGGGAGAACGGGGTGGGAGAATGGAGTGGGGTGGTTAAACAGGGTGGGAGTGGGTGGGAGAACGGGATGAGAGCAGGGTGGGAGAACAGGGTGGGAGAACGGGGTGGGACAACCAGGTGGGAGCGGGGTGGGAGAATGCAGGGAGAGCGGGGTGGGAGAATGGGGTGGGAGGACTGGGTGGGAGCGGGGTGGGAGGACTGGGTGGGAGCGGGGTGGGAGAACGGGGTGGGAGAACGTGGTGGGAGGACTGGGTGCGAGCGGGGTGGGGGAGCAGGGTGGGAGAACGTGGTGGGAGGACTGGGTGCGAGCGGGGTGGGAGAACGTGGTGGGAGGACTGGGTGGGAGCGGGGTGGGAGAAAGGGGTGGGAAGACTGGGTGGGAGTGGGGTGGGAGAACGGGGTGGGAGGACTGGGTGGGAGCAGGGTGGGAAAACGGGTGGGAGAACCGGGTGGGTGAACGGGGTGGGAGGGAGTGGGAGAATGGGGTGGGAGGGGGTGGGAGAATGGGGTGGGGGTGGGAGAACGGGGTGAGAACGGGGTGAGAGTGGGGTGGGAGAACGGGGTGAGAGTGGGGTGGGAGAACGGGGTGAGAGGGGGTGGGAGAACGGGGGGAGAGTGGGGTGAGAGCGGGGTGGGAAAACGGGGGGAGAGTGGGGAGGAGAGTGGGGTGGGAGAACGGGGTGACAACGGGGTGAGAGCGGGATGGGAGAACGAGGTGAGAACGGGGTGAGAGCGGGGTGGGAGAACAGGGTGAGAACGGGGTGAGAGCGGGGTGGGAGAACAGGGTGAGAACGGGGTGGGAGGACTGGGTGGGAGAACGGGATGGGAGCGGGGTGGGAGAACAGGGTGGGAGAACGGGGTGGGAGAACGGGGTGGGAGAACGGGTGAGAGCGGGGTGGGAGAACAGGGTGAGAATGGGGTGAGAGCGGGGTGGGAGAACAGGGTGAGAACGGGGTGGGAGGACTGGGTGGGAGAACGGGATGGGAGCGGGGTGGGAGAACGGGGTGGGAGAATGGGGTGGGAGAACGGCATAACAGCGGGGTGGGAGAACGGGTGAGAGCGGGGTGGGAGAACAGGGTGAGAATGGGGTGAGAGCGGGGTGGGAGAACAGGGTGAGAACAGGGTGAGAACGGGGTGGGAGGACTGGGTGGGAGAACGGGATGGGAGCGGGGAGGGAGAACGGGGTGGGAGAACGGCGTAACAGCGGGGTGGGAGAACGGGGTGGGAGAACGGCGTAACAGCGGGGTGGGAGAACGGGGTGGGAGAACGGTGTAACAGCGGGGTGGGAGAATGGGGTGGGAGAACAGCATAACAGCGGGGTGGGAGAACGGGGTGGGAGAACGGGGTGGGAGAACGGCATAACAGGGGGGTGGGAGAATGGCATAACGGCGGGGTAGGAGTACGGGGTGGGAGAACGGTGTAACAGCGGGGTGAGAGCGGGGTGGGAGAATGAGGGGAGAAGGGGGTGGAGAACGGGGTGGGAGCAGGGTGGGAGAATGGGGAGACGACATTGAATGGGGACAGTTTTAGTTTTGCAAGATGAAAAGTTTGTTTAGCAGGCTGCACAGTAGTATGAATATAGTTTACACTATTGAACTGGATACTTAAAAATGGTTAAGATGATAAATTTTATGTGTATTTCGCCATAATTGTTTTTAAAACAACACCTGAAATCTATCAGACTTTGGCTGTCCTTAGGCCAGAGAAATGGGCTGTGTGGGAAGCTGCCCAGCCCTAGAGGGCACATTTCTAGCTGGCGGACCCCGACGCTTCCACACATTTTCAGGGCACAGGCTCATTCCTGTTTGAAAGTCAGGCAGGGACCATTCTTCCTATTTGATGGTGGGAGCTGAGCCTCAGAATGGTGAAGTGATAGCCCAGGGTGGCGGCCAGGCCTTCTGGCTGGGTCTAGAAGAGCCTGTCTCCACTTCGCCTGCTCCTTGGCTTCCGCCTGCGCCCTGGCCTCCGCCTGCGCCCTGGCCTCCGCCTGCCTGTCCTCTCCCCGGCCCGTGCCGAGCATGAGGTATGAAGGTGTAGACCCTTCTTTAGCTGGATGAGGCTTTTCCCCACTCAACTAAAGTATTGTCTATTGTTCTTCAGGGTAGTTTATTTTTTACTTTTTAATTTTTTTTTTTGAGACTGAGTCTCTGTCACCCTGGCTGGAGCACAATGGTGTGATCTCAGCTGTCTGCAACCTCTGCCTCCCGGGTTCCAGTGATTCTCCTGCCTCCCACACCATCACGCCCAACTAATTTTTTGTATTTTTAGTAGAGACGGGGTTTCACCATGTTGGCCAGGCTGGTCTTGAACTCCGGACCTCAAGTGATCTGCCCACCTCGGCCTCTCAAAGTGCTGGGATTACAGGTGTGAGCCACCGCGCCCAGCCCAGAGTAGTTCTATAAAGTCACCACAAACACTGCACTAACTAATTGAACATTGAACCATGGCTCCTAGGGGAAGCACACAGCTGAGTTCCTGCGAACCTCTGGTCCTAGCATTTTCACCAGCCAATCAATACAGAACCTTGTATGTGTGTTTCTTCCTTTTTTTCTCTCTCTTTTGAGATGGATCTTGCTCTGTTGCCCAGGCTGGAGTGCAGTGGCGCGATCTCAGATCACTGCAGCCTCTGCCTCCCAGGTTCAAGCGATTCTCATGTCTCTGCCTCCCAAGTAGCTGGGATTACAAGCGTGAGCCACCACATCTGGCTAATTTTTGTATTTTTAGACGGGGTTTTACCATGCTGGCCAGGCTGGTCTTGAGCTCCTGACCTTAGGTGATCCACCCGTCTCGAACTCCCAAGGTACTGGGATTACAGGTGTGAGCCACCATGCCTGGCCTTATCTGTGTATTCCTACCGCTCCCCACTAGAATTCATGGCTTGTGAGGAGGTGTGGCTGTGTCCCCAGCCCCTAGACCACCACCTGGCAAGGCGACAGTCTCTGTGGAATTGTCTGAGTGAATGAATGGGCTCCCCAGGCACGGTCTCTCTCTCCTGCTGTCCCACTCAGCCAGGTTGTGACACTTACTCTTCTTGAAGAGCTTTTTCCGGCGTCCGGCCAGGCTGAGCTTGTAGTCCCCGCTGTCACAGGTGCAGGCCTCGCTGCCCTGCCCGTAGTACTTGGGCACGAGGTTGGAGAGGGCTCTGCTGCTACCCAGCTGCACGGGGCCCTTGCACTTATGCAGCTTCAGCTTCCCCGTGGCGTCCTCCACACACTGCCACTTCTGCAAGACATGCCAGGGCCTTGGCCAGCTGCTCGTCTGCTCCCCTAAACCCACCTCTCCCCTGCCACACCCATCCACCCTGGAGACATCCCTCTCCCTGCTTGCATCCAGCTGTTACCGAGCCCCACGTCTGCTGTCTCCAAGTGCCGCTTCTTTCCACTGCCGCTGCTTGAACCTTGGGCAGAGCTACCATCATCCCCCCACGAGATGCCTCCAACGGCCCCCCACTCTCACGGTTGCCCGCTTCTGTCTGCTCCTAAAATCCACCCACGTGGCAGCTAGAGGAATCTTTTTAAAGGGCAAGTTGGATCATGTCACTCTCCTACTTAAAACCCTTCAATGGCTCCCACTGTCTTTAAGACAAGACCCAAGCTCCTCATACTAGTCTCTGAACACCCTCTGCAATCTGGCCCTGGCCTACCCGTGAGTCCTCCGCTCCCTCAGCCCCAGCCCTCTCTCCAGTATCCCCCGTGGGCTGCTGCCCCAGGGACTTGGCGCTCACTGCTCCTTCTGCCTAGAATGCCCTTTTCCCCAGCCCTTCCTGCTGCTGGAGCCTTCTCTTCCTTCCCATCTCTGCTCCAGCGAAAGGAGTCTCCCCGACCACCTTCCCGGACTCGGTCAGTGCTGCGTGCGGAGGTTCCACGTGTGCATTCAACTCCAGGCCTGTGCTCAGAAGCTGAATGTAGACAGAATCACCGTCCAAATCTCTCGTGTTGATTCCTCTTCCCTTCCCCGGGTCCAGCCTCCTGGATCCCCTCGTGGGATTCTGCAACCGCCTGTAAACTGGATTCTCTTCCCTTCTGTCCACACCTGCTCCAGCCCATTGACCCAGTGACTCTTGAGGGCCTATTCTGTGCCAAAGTGACCTTTCCAGGCCACGGATCAGATCTACTCCCTCGCGTCTCTCCAGCACAGAACACAGCACGCGCCGAGCACCGTGTGTTAATATTAACTTGCTCACTGCACCTCCCACTACCGTACGAGGCAGGTGCTGTCATTACTGTGCTGCTTCAATAGGAGACACACAGAGGTAGAGAGATGCGTCCTGGGTCACACAACTGGGAGGTGCAAGAGCTGTAAGGAAAAGTGTGGAATCTGGTGCTACCATCCCCCCCAACTCTCTGCTACACAGCCCACCCCCCGCCACCGCTGAAGGCCCTGCTGCCTTTCACCTGCTCATCTTGTCCCCGTCCCCGCCGTCTGTTCTCACCTAGAGGCTGACTCTGATTGCATTCACAGCGCCCTGCCACCCTCCCACCCCCTTCAACGCATGCAGGCCCTTCCAGCAACCTGGATTCCTTAGTGCAGGAGACTGATGGGCCAGCAGGCATGGCCCTGAATGAGGCCGGCCCAGAAGGGACTGGGGGACCTGGGGAGGATAAAGTGAGCACTGTGACTGGCTATACCCATCTGACTGTCGCCAGAGGGCAGCACAGGCCCAGAGGCCCAGGTCTGATTTTTCAAGAAAAGCCAGGGCTCTGACTTCTGCGTGAAGCCCTGAGTTGTACACACTGGCGAGCAGCCTCCGTCCACTTAGCTCTCTCTGCCTGGAATTCTCCTTCCCCACTGCCTGCTCTCCCTTCCAACCCGACAAACTCAGCCGGGGCACGACTTGAGGGGTCGGCAAACTGCAGCCCTCTTTCTAGTCAACTCCAGCCCACGGCCTGTTTTTGTATGGCCTGCCAACCAAGAACAGTTTTTACATTGTACATTTTTAGAGTTGTGAAAAGCAAGAACAAAAACAAACGTGTGGCCTGCAAACCGCAAACTATTTACGGGTCTGACCTTGTGCGGAAAGTGTTTGCTGCTCCTGCACTACTCATGGAGAAGCCGTGTCCGCATGCCCTGTCCCGAGGCTCTCCTGGGGGGGGGTGGTGCGTGAGCCCCACAGGGCTGGGCCAGTGTCGGCTTGACTCTGGGTCCCTACAGCTGCTGAGAACAAAGGTCTTGCAACCTGACTACCTGGGTTCAAATCCTGGCTCCACCACTTGAAGCTGTGAGGCTGTGGGTAGGCTGTCTAAGCCCTGGGCCTCGGTTTCCCCCGTGTAGAGAACATACCTGCCAGATAGGGTGGCTGGAGGCAGAGCTCACACTCAGTGTTGCCTGTGATGGTCGTCATTACGAGGTGTCCAGGGCACATTTACTCCTGCCCGGGCCAGGCCCTGATCTGGGCTTTAGGAATGATGACATGAATTCCAGCCGGGCCCTGCCCTTACTGTCCCCGTGTCACTGGGAGACAGGCAGATGCACAAGAGCTTGGTTCCCGGGAATGTTTGTTCAGCGAAGGACAAACGAACATCTAGCACGTGGGGTAGCACAGAAAAGGTACCCAAGGCTATGCTATGGCTGGGCGTGAGGCCCCCTAAGAGGCGTCCTCGGGCCACAGGGTACAGCTTCTACACTGGGCAGGGCGTTCCAGAAGCACAGCACAAGCAGAGACGTGGCAACGGCACTCGGGGAGTGCGGGCTTGTGAGCAGGGCCGTTGCCTGGGATGGCGGGCAGAGGTCTGGGCCTGGGATCCCCACAGCCCCGGGGATGGGTCTGGGCACATGGGCTGCTGCCTCCCAGCTGGCCTAGGCTATGTGGCCCAAACCACGCCCTCACACTGTCTTCCTTTGGTTTCAGTGGTGCGCTCTGATGTTTGGAAAATGCTGATACCTCCTCTTTCTTGGCCCCAGCAAAGAGGTCATTTTGGCTGCCCAAGCGCTGATCTGGGTCAGGGGAGACATGCAGAAAGAACCAGCGGGGGACTTGACAGCGTTCCCTGGCCGGGGGGCGGTGGGGGCAAAGGCTTCCTGGCCTCCTCATTTCATTTCTTTTAGCCCAGAACTAACATCAGAACCCCTTCTGGGAGCTCGGTACAAAGTCAAGGCTGAACTCTCTCCAGAACGTCAGCTCTGGGAGGGCAGGAGTTTCTGTTGAGCATATTCAAGGCTGTAGCCCTGCGCCAGGACAGCGCCTGGCAAGCAGAGGTACGCGTTCATGCTGTACAACGGAGGGATGAAATCCACAGCTCCTGCCTGCTGGCAGATACGGGTTAATTCCGTGACTAAGTGGGGTCTGTGGTTTACACACACTGGGTGAGGAGGCACAGTCAGGCCTGTATGAGCCTGTACTAATTCTATGTACATTGATAAGATGGAGTCATTCAAACGCAGTCCATCAGAAACCCATCCACCTCCGGCCTTGGCCTTCAACACCAGGGCCCTGGTTTTGCTTTTTCTCACTGGTGAACAGGCACGCAACTCCAGCCCCAGCTCAAAGTCCCAGTCTTTGACGGGCAAGACAGAGACACACCTCCGGCACCCCTTGGGGCCAGCCAAGGCAGAGCTTCACCATCTCCACTGCCCTCTCCACCCTGCCTGGCTGGGGTTGCCCCTCCCCTGACCCTCCTTCTCCAAGCCTGCCCTGGCCTTCCAGCCTCAGAAAAGCCTCATTTAGGCTTTCCCAGCATGTCAGTTTCTGCTACCTCTGAATACTTCCCAGATTATTTTCTTTTTTCTTATGTTTTTAGGGACAGGGTCTTATTCTGTCACCCAAGCTGGAGTGCAGCGGCGCAATCACAGCTCACTGCAGCCTCCAACATGTGGGCTCAAGCCATCCTCCCGCCTCAGCTCTGGAGTAGCTGGGACCACAGGCATGAGCCACTGACTGTTCCTGGCCATAATTGCCTTAATATTTCTCTTGCAACCAATTCACTTTTTAAAAACTTACATATATTTATTTTAAAAAGCCACGTCTTATTACTCCTGTAAAAGGAAAACCAGTCACAAAGACAATACTGTCAAAGCGAACACGGTGAAAATAAACTAATTTAACTCCTGCGGGGGCCTCAGTGCAAGAGGGGTTGGCAAGGGCTAGAGAGGTGCTAAGGGCACACAGCATACTCATGGGACACTTGGCCTCTGACACGGTCAGGGTCCAAAGGCTGCTGAGAAATCAATCACTTATCATGAGCATCATCCTGCATCACCAAACTGCATCTTGGGCATCACACGACAGCAAAGGGCTACCCGTTGGGAGGCCCTGGCCCTGCTGGCTCAGCGGCTCTCAGGGCCCCACAGGTCAGGGCTGGCTGCAGTCAGGAGGGGGAGCGGTCGGGAGGGAAGGGAGCCTTCTTACCTGTCCCAGCTGCTCACACGCCGTCTGGTACTCAGCGCGCTGACACAGGTCCTTCACACGCTGGTACTTGGGCAGAAAGTTCTCCTCCTGGGCGTCCACCTTGTCATTGTCTCTCTTGTGTAGCAGTTTGCTGTGGGGCAGAGAGGAGGAGCCGCGGGGCCGGCCTCTCAGCTCTGGAGGAGCCCCGGAGGCACGTGTGCCCACCTAGAGGGGTGCCCCCTCGGCTTTGGCTTATCCTCACAGTGGAGGACGCAGGGCCACCCTGCCCGGGTCTCCTGATGTTTAGGAAACTTAAGATTGGCATTTTATAAGAAACTTCCCAAATCGCATGAGTTGGCAATAACTTAAATAAATTGAAGACATTGTAGAGGCTGGACAAAACATGCCAAAAGGATATGCGCGACCTCAGACCCCAATTCTGTGTCGTCTATAGGAGCAGTGAATGGGCTCTGTGTTTAGGGGCCTTTGGACACAACTTCAGAGCCACTGTTGGCACCATCATAGCCCGATTCTCCCTGCTGCCCTGGGCGGAGGGAGGGAGGTGGGCAGGGGTGTCCCTGCCAGGACCCGGCACTCACCCTCTCTCCACCAGGAAAGAGTCCCGCCAGACCCTCATCTTCTTTTTCAAGTGAAACCTGGAAAAAAGCACGGATCCTGCTTCTCAACAACGTGAGGGCTTCCCACGACCCCCTATTTCCCCAGGAGCAGGGACAGCACCAGGAGTCAGCCTTGGTTTACAGTCAGCCTGGACAGCAATTGTGGCGAGTGCGCCCAGCCGGGCACTGGAGAGCCTTGCTCACCCTCCTGAGTTGAGCCACCCCTTCCCCAGAGACTCGGGTCTGGAGGCACACAGGGCAGAAATGACCCAGGTCAAAGTCACTGTAAGTCCCACCCAAGTAACTGTGTGTGCGCGCGCACATCTCACGCCCCTGCAGGAAGCCCAACAACTCCCGGAGCTGGAAGAGCTCTGTCTCGAGCTCAGCGTCAGGCGCAGTGGTTTGGCGTCTTGAGCTCTGTCTCCAGCTCAGCGTCAGGCGCAGTGGTTCAGGGTCTTGAGCTCAGCGTCAGGCGCAGTGGTTCAGTGTCTTGAGCTCTGTCTTGAGCTCAGCGTCAGGCGCAGTGGTTGTCTTGATGTAGGGTTCATTGCATTGGGTTGTGGGGGTATTTTCTTCTTTGGTGCTTTGCAGTTGCATGTATGTAATTTGTGGGTTTCATCCGGTGCCACCTGGTCATTTCCATTTCCTAGATGGGGACTCTGAAGCTGAAAGGAGAAGCCTCCACCCTGTCCCCTGTCCCCCAGGTGTCCTGACTCCCAGGCCAGTGTCCCCAAACATGTCCATTTTATACCATTACAGCTCGCCTGGCCTCACAGTCAGGGGAGGAGCCTCAATGGACACGGTCCCCCTAGAGGGCAGCCAGATGTGGGCACACAGTGCTCGCCTGGCTGGAGCCTCTGGGAGACCACAGAGGAAGGGCTCCGCTGCTGGAGGTGCAAGCCAGGAGTTGAAGTAGCACCTGGAGGCCAGGAACCTGGTGGCTATTAGAGTGCTGGCCACCAGATGTCACTGTGGCCACACCAGCCTCCCCGCCCTGACTCAGCCCACCTCCCACCTGTCTGACTTGCTCACCCTCACGGTTCCTACTCTGACACCTGGAATATGTTCCCATCACACCCTCCAGCATTAAAGTTATGGGGTGTGGTAAGTCAGCATCTGAATTCCCAGAGCTACATCCAGACTTGCTGGGATACCTCTGACAAGTCACTCAATCGCTTTGGGATTCAGATTCCAAACTGGCAAAATGGGGATGATGATAACGTCACCTCGCTGGGTTACTGTGAGAATCAAACTCCTAGAATCCCCTGCACAGTACTTAGAACAGGGCCTCACACACAATCGCCATGCAGTTAGCACCAACTCCTACGATCACTGCTGCTACCATTTCAAGCTTTGTGTAATTTTAGTTCAGAGAAGGTCCCCAACTGGTCACCTTGGCCACATTCCAGATAGGAAGACAGAATCTCAGAGAGGGGAATGCTTCTCTCCCACAGCAGCTAAGCGGTTGGGGGGACCTGAGAACCCCAGCTCCCAACCCTTGGAGACCCCATGTTCTAGACCCACAGGGTTTTGCTCTGAGTTCCTGCAGGTCAGGAGCCCAATGTCCCAGCCCCCTGCACCTGCCCTGCTCCTTCCTCACCGATTCACCGGCCGCTCCGTGTCCAGCAGCTTGAGGATGGATTTCCCGTCCATATCCGCGGGTATGTCCAGGCCTGCAATGTCCAGGATGGTGGGGGCCAGGTCAATGTTGAGGACGATGTGGGGATTCCTGGGGGAGGCAGGAGATCGGGGACTCAGCCACTCGGGTGGTGGTGCCTCAGCCTCGCTCGAGGGGTGGGCGGTGGTAGGTGGGCAGCAGTTTGTGGGGGGCTGACATCTGCAGGTATGGAAGCTGCAGTCTGGCACCTCAACCTCAGCAGCTCCCCTCTGCGGCCCAGATTCAGCCAAATCCCCACTCTGCGCTCGCCCCCCACTTAGCTTCTGCGTCTCAGACATGCCATGCGGTGAGCTGACAGCCCCACCCTGTCCCTACTTCCTGAGTGAAGGCAACCTGCCTTTACAGCCAGCCCAAATCCTGGCCCTTCCCGAGCCCTTCCCCTGGATCTCTGGGGCAAACACTGGCTCCTTGCTGTTCCTTGACAGCCCAGGCACAGTCCAGCCTCAGGGCCTTCTTCTTTACTGTCCCCTCTGCCTGGAATGTCCTTTCCCTGGAGATCAGGGGCCACCGTCCCTCACCCCTTTAGTTCTTTGCTCTATTACCAAGGAGGCCCGTGACAGGCCTCAGTGATCCCCGGGATCCCTGTCCCTGGGGGACCAAACCGGACCTGCTGCCAACCAGCGGGACGTGAAGGTGATGGGCTGTCACTCCCGTGGTTGTGTTATGAGATAGTCAACTCTATCCTGCTAGTGGTCTTGCTCCGGTCTCTCTTTCTCCCCTTGCTGACTTTGAAGAAGCAAGCCCCTCTAAATCAGCAGCTGGACGGTGAGCAGTTTGGGAGGCAGACTGCATGGGTTCAAGTCCTCTGCTTGCATTTGACCTGCCCCGTGAGCAGGGACGCAGGTGCTCCCCAGTCACGCCTCTGGATGAGACCGCAGCCCTGGCCGGCACCTTGATTTCAGCCTAAGCAGACGACCCTGCAGCGCTGGGTCCCGGCTTCTGACCCTCAGACACCGTGAGTTTGTACATGTGTTGTCTTAAGCTGCTGAGTTTGTGGCAGTTTGTTCTGCAGCACAGATACCCAACACAAGGCCCTCCTGAGGACCCTATTTGGAATTGCGCCCCTCCCTGCCCTCCCTGCTTTATCTTTCTCCTGAAGACCCATCACCGTCTCATATGCTATATATCTTACTTATTTCTCTGGCTTATTGTCTATTGCCCAGGTAGACTCTAAGCTGCAGGAAGGCTGGCTCAGGTGGTCACTTCTGTATCTCCAGGACTTACACCCTTAGAACACACAGTAGCTACTCAGTAAATACTGGCTAAGTGAGTTCCATACATCTGCCACCTTTCCCGGCTCCTGTTTCTTTTTTTTTTTTTTTTGAGAGGTGTCTTGCTCTGTCACCCAGGCTGCAGTGTGGTGGCACGATCTCGGCTCACTGCAACCTGTACCTCCCGGGTTCAAGCGATTCTCATACCTCAGCCTCCCGAATAGCTGGGATTACAGGCATGTGCCACCACACCCATAATTTTTGTACTTTTAGTAGAGGCGGGGTTTCACCATGTTGGCCAGGCTACTCTCGAGCTCCTGACCTCGGGTGATACGTCCACCTCGGCCTCCCAAAATGCTGGATTACAGGCATGAGCCACCTCTCCTGGCTCCTGTTTCTGGCTGACATTCCCAGTGTAGGGTAAGGGACTTGAGGGGTGTGCACAGCACAGGCCCCAGGACCTGTTGAATGGTGGACAGACCCGTCAGAGCGCCTGAGTGCCTTCCCTGCTAGTCCCCTGGGGACCGGGGCAGGGCCTGGGTCCTGGGGTTTCTGACATCTTTAACCCCCCATTTCTCCCCATTCCAGTGCCCTGTGAACATCGGGCAGGCTGCCAAGCATGTGTGCAGCTGGGGAAGATGGGCTAAAGCTGTGTCATGGGGGGCTCGAAGTGTGAGCTGCTACAACTGAATCCAGAGGCGAGGGAGCTGGGAAGACTGCTGAGCGACGGGCACTCTGCCCAACCTAGCAGCCAGCAGCCGACGGGGCTGAGCTTGTCCAGTGGTCCTGCTCCCCCAGGCTCAGGGGAAGGAGGACAGCGGTCACTTTTCCTGGCCAGCACCCATGCCTTGCTCTGTCGCAGCTTCTTATTCTGTAGGAACTACCTGACCCCATTCAGAGCCCACTGCCCAATGCACTCAGCCTGGTCACTCAACAGTTTCTGTCACCTCTGGCTACAGTGATTGGTTCAGGGAAGGACACGTGACCTCAGTCAGGCCAGTGGGAGTCAGCCTCAGGTCTTCTGTTCAAAGCAGTTTGGTTTCCTAAACAGGATGGCTGAAAATCTGGAGCTGCTGACTCTGCCATAAGGAGAAAAACCCGCCTGAGAATGAAGCCAATTCAGCGGAAGCGGGATTGAGAGTTAAGAAATAAGAGCTTCCCAGTGGCATTGTAAGACTGCTGGATCCAGCCATGCCTGAGGCTGGAGCTGTGCATGGATTTTTCAGCAACTATAGTTACTGCGTTCTTTTTTATCTTATATGCTTTATCTGGTTCAAAGGTCGTTTCTGCTTGCAACCAAAGGAGTCCTGGCTGACAGATACTGTGTGTCTTTGGTCCCAAACCTGACATGAGCACTCTCTTTTTCTTGACCATGTGGGATGGGGTTTTGGGTCCTATGAGTCAGATCACAGATGCCAAGGCTGACCAAACCCCCAGTGTCAGTGTTTGTAGAGCCCTCAGTGGGTCAGATGCTTTCTGTTCTCAGGGATGGTTTGAGGTTTCTGACAGGTGTGGCACATGGGAATAGACACTGCCTGGCTTCAAGCCCCAGCCCCTTCCCTTACTTGCTCTGTCACCTCAGGCAACTTAACCTCTCTGTGCCTCAGTGGCCTTGGGTGTAAAACGGGGCCACTATGTGCATCCACGTCACAGGGCTGTTGTGATGCTGCAATGAATTATTATTAATTTTTTTTGAGATGGAGTCTCACTGTCGCCCAGCCTGGAGTGCAGTGGCATGATCTCGGCTCACTGCAACCTCCGCCTCCCGGGTTCAAGCAATTCTCCTGCCTCAGCCTCCTGGGTGCTGGGATTACAGGTGTATGCCACCATGTCCAGCTAATTTTTGTATTTTTAGTAGAGGTAGGGTTTCACCAAGTTGGCCAGGCTGGTCTCGAACTCTTGACCTCAAATGATCCGCCCACCTGGGCCTCCCAAAGTGCTGGGATTACAGGCGTGAGCCACAGGGCCCGGCCTGCAGTGAATCATTATGTAGTTCTTAGACCAGGCCCTGAAGAGTAGACACTCCATACGCGTGGGCTTTCGTTATTACAGCTCTTATTCCGGGGGGGTGGGTGCTGAGAGCCAAAGACGGGCATGATCTGATAAGGTCAACAGACAGTCATCACTTTCTCTGGCCTTGAACTCATGCAGCCTGCCTCCTGGAATTCTCGCAAAATGTCCAAGGCAGTGGGAACATGTCAGTCTGGAATTCCACACTGCACTGTCTGCCTCTTCTGAAGGAATTCTGCAGCCAGCCCTGTGTGAGTGCTGGGTGTGTGTTCCCACATCTGGGCATGGGCAGAAGTCAGACCAAATGAGAGTCTTAATAGCAACACATCTGCTTTTCAAAAACCCCATTTGAGCCAGTCTCCATAATATCCCAGCCGATCCAAGGAAGCTGCTGCCATGAACAGCGGCCTGTCCGCTCCCCTGCCCCAGACGCAGCATGTTCGCTGCCAGAACGTGTCATCTCAAAGGTTAACCCAAGGAGAATTGCTGGCTGAGGGCTGCGGCCCACGTGGTCCTCCAGGAAGGATGGGCGGGGAAAAGCATTTCCCTTTGTGCTGCTGCCCGGAGCTGGCCAGCTGATGCCGGCTGACAACCAGCTGCCTGTGCTGAGGTCCGGGATTCCTCCCTGACAACCTCCAGGCCCAATGGCCGCCCAGCCCAGAACAGAAATCCAAGCGCCGTTCCCACCCGCTGGTGACGCGCGCGTGCGCGCACACACGTATACAGCCCGGAACAGAAATCCAAGCGCCGTTCCCACCCGCTGGTGACGCGCGCGTGCGCGCACACACGTATACAGCCCGGAACAGAAATCCAAGCGCCGTTCCCACCCGCTGGTGACGCGTGTGTGCGCGCACACACGTATACAGCCCAGCTCCCTGGATTTCCTGGCATACAGCCACACCACAATCAATCTGCTTCCACAGGTGCTCACGGCCCTGGCCTCTCCTTCCCCAGCAGAGGGGTATGAAATGCATGACATAATTGCTTTCCGTTGGCCCTGGGGTTCATCTGTCAGAACTGTGTGCCACCCAGGGTGTGGTTTGGGCTGCACGGTTGCAGCCCTGAGCTGGGCCCAGGGGCCCCCTGGATCCCTGGGGGATGCCATACTTACAGAGAGCCAGCTTCCACGTTGGGGCCCCTCACATAGAACGGGACCCTGATGTCAAACTCGTACGGCATGGATTTCCCTTTGACCAGGCCAAACTGGCCGATGTGGTAGCCGTGGTCGGCGGTGTACACGATGTACGTGTTGTCCAGCTCGCCCGTCTCAACCAGCATGTTGTAAATCTGCAACACAGGCGAGGAGGCAAGGGGCAGTGGGGACCGGGTGCCTGACCTGTCTCCGACCTGGGGTGGCAGGGGCTTGAGATCTCAGTTCCCATCCTTCCCCTGCTTCAGGTCTTCGCTTAACGTTCCCAGGGGCTGTCCCCTTTGTCACTGCACCTTCCTGCCTCCCGTCACTCCCTGGCCCGCCCTCTCCTCCACGGTTCTTCGCAGCCCTTCTCGGCCTCCATCTCTTTTGCTTATCTGTGGATCGTCTGTGTCCCTGCCTTGGCATGCCATGCTGCCTCCATTAGGGCAGAAACTTTTGTCATTTTGTTCCCTGCTTGCTGTATTTCACGTACACTGGCACTCAATAAATGCTATCGGGTGAATGAATGAAATGAGTGAAACTTGGGCTGCAGCCTGTGGCAGGAGCTTGCCATCTGGAAGGGCGCCGTGTGGCAGAACTTTCTGCATTGGTGGCCGTGTAAATGTCTGCACTGTCCGATACGGTGGCCTCCAGATGCACGAACCTACTGAGCACGTGAAATGAGGCTTGTGTGACAGAAGAACTGACTTTATAATGTTACTGTATTCAGTTTAAATAGCCATGGCTAAATAAAATGTGACAATACCCATACAACGGGGTACTATTCAGCAATAACAGGGAATGAGGGGGACGGATTCATGGGATACCAGGGGTGAAGCTGGAACACATGGCGCTAAGTGAAAGAAAGGCACTGGGCACAGAGGCCTCAGCGTGTACGCTTCCATTTATAGGAAATGTGCAGAACACCAAATCTATAGAGACAGAAAAGAGATCATCAGTTGTCTGGGGCTGGGGGTGAGGGAGATTTAGTGGGTAGTGACTAAGGGCTGTGAGGTTTCTCTCTGGGGTAAGAAAAATGTCCTCACATGGATGTGGTGATGGTTATACAACTCTGGGTGTATTAAAACCACAGAATTGCACACTTTAATGGGAGGAATTGTATGGTATATGAATTACATCCCAATAAAGGTATTCAAAAATGTAAATAGCAGGAAAAAAATATAACTAGCATACATGGTTACCGTACTGGGCAGCACGGATCTAGAATATGTTTCATGAAGGAAGAGGCTTTTGTCTGGATCGCTCCAAGCTGCTCCCCAGGTCTAGCATGTGGTCTCTTCATTCTGCCTTTGATTTCCATTCCTCCAGGAAAACCCTGAAGGGCCAGGAGGTTCTGGCCCTGGCCTGGCTGGGGGTTCGGAGCCACGCCCACCAAGAGGCATGCAGTGGGCGCCTACCGTCTCCATGGAGTCGTCCACCGACATGAGGGTCTGCAAGCGCTTCCGCTGGAGTATGTTGGTGAATTCCATGTGGATGGGCTTCATGGGCCCCGTGTAGCGCATGATCCAGTGTTTGTCCGGGTTGGGCGCATAGTTGTAGCTTGGCGTGCTGGTGGGCAAGGACATACGCATCAGTCAAAGCCAGGGACAGCCTGGACCCAGCCTGGCCCCTATCAGATCCGCCCGGGTCAGCAGCCACCCTGTGCTGTGTCTGCAGCCCAGGGCCAGCTGTGCTGCCCTGGTGGGAAAGGAGACATTGGCATGTCAGGGGCTTATCCAAACCCTGTTTCAGCGTTTCTCCACATGTGAAGTGTGCATGTGGGAAGCTCCTAAGAGGCACAGCATTCAGTGATCTTGAGCGACAAAGTGAGACAGCCAGTCCCTTGTCGGTTCTCTCAGGGCAAAGTCTCAGTTTGGTGCTAGTGTTTCTTTAACACCTCTCTAGACTTTGCTCATCTCCCTTTTGAAAAAAACGGAAGACAGTCGAGTTCAGAGCCTTCATCAGGAACCAGCACCCAACTCGAATTCTGTAACATTGCTTTGTGTGCCTTGGACCTATTTTTGGTAGATGGCAGTTACCTTTGGGGAATGGCAGGTGGCAGTTATTGTGGTTAAGGTAGGACCACAGAATATCCGTTTGCAATAGATTTTAGTTTGAAGTAATAGAAATTGATTTAAAAATTAAATAAGTTATAGTTATATGTGTAAGGCCAGAATTGTGAGGAAGGCACCTGAATGTGTACATTTGGGACACGCCACATTCTCTTACTTTTTGAGACGGAGTCTCGCTCTGTCGCTCAGGCTGGAGTGCAGTGGCGCGATCTCAGCTCACTGCAACCTCTACCTCCTGGTTCAAGCGATTCTCCCGCCTCAGCCTCCCAAGTAGCTGGGACTACAGGCGCCTGCCACCACGCCTGACTAATGTTTTTGTATTTTTAGTAGAAATGGGGTTTCACTGTGTTAGCCAGGATGGTCTCATCTCCTGACCTCGTGATCTGTCTTGGCCTCCCAAAGTGCTGGGATTATAGGCGTGAGCCACCGCGCCCGGCCTGTTTTTTTTTTTTGAAATGGAGTCTCGCTGTCGTCCAGGCTGGAGTGCAGTGGTGGGATCTCAGCTCACTGCAGCCTTCGCCTCCTGGGTTCAAGTGATTCTCCTGCCGCAGCCTCTTTAGTAGCTGGCACTTCAGGCATGTGCCACCACACCTGGCTAATTCTTGTAGTTTTAGCAGAGATGGGTTTTGCCATGTTGGCCAGGCTGGTCTTTAACTCCTGACCTCAGGTGATCCACCCTCCTCGGCCTCCCAAAGTTTTGGCATTACAAGCATGAACCACTGCGCCTGGCATGCTGCTTAATCTTGCAGCAGGAGTGTGTGGGGCAAAGTTCTGTCTGAGCACCTGTGACATGAGGGAGGGAGGGACCCCAGGCAGGTATCTATGACGATATCACAGCAGTGGTGGCCCATACCAGCTGCTGGGGTTTGAACCCCAGTTCTGTCTTTGGCCAGTTAGTTCCCTCCCAAGGCATCAGTTCCCTCACTTCCTACCCAAGGAGAATATAGACAGTGCCAGTTCCCAGGATGGCTGTGAGCACTGAGGGAGAGGCTGTAAGGGGAGCCCTTCTAACCATGGCCAGTGCGTGATGACTGCTCGCGAGAGGTTATCACTGGTGTATCCCCCCTTTGTCATTAGTAATCACAGGTGACTCCACGGCAGAAGTCAGGTACACTGGGTCTGTCACTCACTCTGTGAGACAGCGGGCAGGTCCCCAAACTTCTCTGACCCTCTCTGCTTCCTGGTTAGTCAATGGAAGATTAAACCAAAACCAGAGGAATCACTGTGAGCAAACCAAAAGCACCTCCTTGCCACCTCGGTTTATGCCGGGCCCCCGGATCTGAGCTACTGAAAACCGCAGCATGTGGGGGTCTCCTGGGTGGGGTGCACCACTGACAGGAAGCACTGTTTAAGGCCTCACAAAAAGTGGGTTTCCTCGCCCTGGGTCTGACGGTTCTTGAAGGCCAGGTTCCCTGCAAATCTGGCTCCCCTTCTCAGTCAAGGCTGAAGTAAAGGTTGAGTTTCCACCGCTTTTCACAGTGGGTGTTCCGGGGGCAAGGAGCTCCCGCAAAGAAGAAGAGGAAAAACGAGCCTGGTCAGAGGGACACAGACATGTCTCCCTCCGACCTGGCTCGTTGGGACTTCAGCAGCGTCTCAAATATCGTGATCGTCCAGGGCAGACATTGTGACGCTGCCGCTGGGGTAGCTTGGCAGTTGTGGACTCCGTTGCTATGTAAGGCGGGAGGTGAGTCACTGTCTCCAAGGCTCCCCTGGACTCGGTTTTCTGAGCCCCTGGCTGATCTGCAGCCTCCCGCCACTAAATCCATCAGGGCCCACGTTCCTCTCATTACAGAACGGCCAGGCTCCTCTGCGGGCTGGCTCTGCCGTCTCAGGGCCTGACTGCCATGTAGAACGTTCCCAGGAACGAGCTCAGCTCCCCTCTCAGATCTGTCCCACCAAGGAACTGAAAGGAGGCTGCTGGGGGCAGCAGATGGACAGAGATGTTCTCTGTCCCACACAGCCCAACGTGTGGGAAAATTGGTCCCGCAGGCCCAAGGGCCTGGATTCCAGGATGCAATTTTCAGCAATCATCCCTGAATCCAAGAGAAGTCAGGCTGATGTCAGCCCTTGAGAACAGGGAGGGGTGAGTTTGTTCAGAGGATGACGATTTCTGCAGCCCCAGCTCTGAGACAGAGCTTTTGGAGAAGGACACTGAGGCCAGAAGGCAGCAAAGCCGGGTGGAGCTTGGGGTCAACGCCAGCTTGCCAGTCGCCTGTGTCAAGCCAGGCTCCACAAGGGAGGATGTCAGCATCTTCCCATGGGCTCAGCTGCCCGTTCAACAAAGATCTGAAAACTTCACCTCCTCCAGCATCTCAGGAATGTCTGGTGTATTCACGAAAGGGCATGAAGGACAGCATCCCCTTCCCTTCTGCTGGGGAAACAGTGAAAGATGGTGGTGTGCTCACAGCCCCTCCACTGTGTGTCTGCGGCCTTCAGCAGCAGCCCCGACACCCCTCGCCCCAAAGCCCTTGAAGCCACAATCAGCGCCCTTTGCAGGGAAGCTCTGAGGGCTGGTGGGCTGTGTCTGCGGGCCTGCCTGTGTGTATCTTTGTATTTCTGCCTATGTCTGCGTTTGCATGTGTGTATGTCTGTGTGTCTGTAACTGTGTATTTCTGTGTGTGTCTGCATGTGTGTATGTTTCTTTTTTTTTTTAAGAGACAGGGTCTCACTCTGTCACTCAGGCTGGAGTGCACTGGCGCAATCATAGCTCACTGCAGCCTTGACCTCTCAGGCTCAAGCGATCCCTCCACCTCAGCCTTTCCAGTAGCTGGGACTACAAGTGTGCACCACCACCCCTGGCTAATTTTAAATTTTCTGTAGAGAGAGAGTCTCACTAAGTTGCCCAGGACTGCGTGTGTTTCATTGCATGGGTGTCTGCTTGTGTGGTATGCCTCTGTGTGCTTGTATTTGCATGTCTTTGTGTGTGTCCGTATGTATGTGACTGTGTGTGTGAGGGTGCATGGGGAGGGTGCAGGGCCCTGGGGTCTGTGGGGTGGATGGTACCACCACCTACCAACTTTTGACAGAATCCATAAGGCCTGTGCCAGGACAGGGCATGTGCCAGCTTTCTAGGGGAGAGATGGGATAGGAGACCCCTGACAGAAAGATCCAGTGCTCTAACCTTGTGCCCCGGCTCTGTCCCCCGCCCACCCCTTCTTGACTGTCATCATTAAACATCCTAGTTGCCGAACTTTCTCTTTTTTTGGTTTCTTCTGGAAATGATTATACCCCAGAGATAACAGAGCCTTCCAAACATGCCCCTGAGAAGGCAAAGGGGGTTTCTCCACATAAGAGCAGACAGTGCTCGTTTTCAATTTCTGTAATTTTCATTTCAAAGGGAAAATAAACCAACAGGCAATGTCAAACAATTCCACCACAAAATTCCGGCGCTGCTCGCTGCTGCTTGGGGTGAAGCTGGCACCTCTTTTAGAGATGCTGCCAAAGCAAAGTGTCCCTTCCCCCACCCACGGCTTCTCCCTTAGACAGGGCTGAGTGGCCTCCATCCCCTGCAGGGATGAGTTCTAAGTGGGGATGGGGCAGGGTGCCAGCTGCTGGGGGAGGCTGGCCTGCTTGGGGGGAGAGGAGTGGGCTTGGGTTTGGAGGGGGAGCCAGACAGATGTGCACAGAAGCAATGCTGCAGCCCCTGGGACCCAGCTCATCATCATCTGTCAAAGCCTGCTTCCCAGAGACCGGGATGGGAAGGTGAACAGCGCCTTTCATACCCTCTCTGAGCTGCTTCGAGGGCTGTCAAAAAGTAATCACAGGAGGGGCTTGAGGAGGGCAATGTATTCCGATTGTAATGAAGCTAAACAACCTGAATATTCAGGCAGATTCCAAACCGCCCCATCCTTGAGGCCCCAGAATGTCACAGCAAGGGCTGCTGAGTTACCACTAAGCAGGGGGTGGTCTGAGGCAGAGAGAAGCAGGAGAACTTTCCAGGAAGTTTCCCAGCCAGCTGGATGGAGGCCTGCAGGGGTGGGCAGAGGCATGGGAAGCAGAAGTAGGGGCTGGACTTGAATCCTGGCTCTGCCACTTAGAGCTGGGTGACCTCAGGTAAGTTACCTCACCTCTCTGTGCCTCAGTTTATTCATCTGTAAAATGGGAACACCAAGTGTGACAGGCAGCCTCCAAGATGGCCCTCGATGATCCCCACTTCCTGGCCTTCACACTCCTGCGCAGACTCTCCCATGTTGTAGGAGGACTGGTCTGTGTGACCAATAGAATGTGGCAGAGTGATGGTGCCACTTCCAAGATTAGGTTGTAAAAGACACTGCGGCTTCCTTCTTGGCCTCACTCTCTGATCATCTGCTGTGGGCAAGGCCAGTTATCATGCTGTGAGGACACTGTAACATCCTACGGACAGAGGCTCATGTGGCAAGGCCCAGCCATGGGACTGAGCCCCAGTGAAGCCTCAGGTGACTGCAGCCCCAGCTGACACCTTGACTGCAACTTCGGGAGACCCTGGGCCAGGAGCTCAGAAGAGCCACTCCCAGATTCCTGACTCACAGACACCATGAGATAATTTGTGTTTGTTGTTTTAAGCTGCTAGATTCTGGGATGACTTGTCACATGGCAATAGATAACTGGTACACCAAGGGTCATTGTGAGTATTCAGGGACTGGACACAATGTGAAGGGCTTAGCACAGCACCTGCTACATAGCCCACGGCTCAATAAATGGTGGCAAATAATTAGTCTGGTAAAACTATAGACCCCTTACTCAAAAGAATGTTTTTAGATGTCTTAAATAAAATACACATGGCATTAAATGGAAACCCATTCTACACAGTTCCATCCACAGACCTCTTGGTGGGAGGCCGTGTACCCCAAGTTAAAAATTCTCCTGCCTTGGTCTGTTGGCCAGGCTGTCTGGAGTTGCATCCCAGTTTCACCGTGGACAAGCAGCATGTTCTTGGGGTCTTTCAACCAGGAGGATTAGAGAGAAGGCACAGTGAAGTCATGGTGGTGACAGTACTGTTGCTAAAGCCTGACCCTCCCCCTTCATGCTAAGCAGTGCCTCTGGCAGGCAGAGTGCTGAGGCTTACATGTGCTGAGATGCATTGGGGAAGAGGCGTGAATATTGTGGCGCTGAATCCTCAGGACCGTGGGGGGCTGCATGGCTGATGACCATGAGGACTGGCCTGTGTGGGTACATCTTCTTGGACGTGCGGAAGAAGCTCACACTGTCGTTGGTGATGAGGTCTGTGAGGTAATCCTGGGGGGTGAGGAGAGAAAGGAGAACAGGTGAGGAGCCAGGTATTCATACTGGTGTCCACTATATGCCAGGCACTGTGCTAGGCACTGGGGACACAACAGTGAACAAAACAATTTCTGCCCTTGTGCAGCTGACAGTCTAGGGAGGAGACAGACAAGAAATAAGCAAGTAAAATAAATGAAATGCCAGACAAATGATGCAAATGGTGCTAAGCTCATTGGAGATAAAGCAGAGAAGTGGGTAGGGAGAACAGGGCAGGAATTGCAATATATCATTCAATATAGATATTAAAAGAATAGGCTGGGTGGGATGGCTCACACCTGTGATTCCAGCACTTTGGGAGGCTGAGGTGGGTGGATCACCTGAGGTCAGTTTGAGACCAGTCTGGCCAATATGGTGAAACCCCATCTCTACTAAAAATACAAAAATTAGCCAGGCATGGTGGTGAGCACCTGTAGCCCAGCTACTCAGAAGGCTGAGGCAGGAGAATCACTTGAACACAGGAGGTGGAAGCTGCAGTGAGCCAAGACTGCATGATTGCACTCCAGCCTGGGTGCTGACTCAAAAAAAAAAAGAGATATTAAAAGAATAATAGCTAACAGTACTGAGTGCTTACGATGTGCCAAGGACTGTTCTGTGTTTACCTGTATTTGCTCACTTAATTCTGACATAACTATAGAAAGTAGGTATGATGATAATCCTTATTTACCAGAACAGGAAATTAAGGCACAGAGAAGCTAAGTAAATTGCCCAATGGCACACAGCTAGTAAATGTTGGACCCAGCACTACAGAGTCTTGGCTCATAAGTCTGAAGTTTTTTCAAGGCTCTGGGGACACTGTCATGCAGGGTGGGTATATCCCTAAGTGCTGGGCTGCCTACAGTGGGGCAGGAGTAGACACGTGTATAAATAAAGAACCAAGGTAGTTAAAAGGTGTGACAGATGAAGGAAATATAATAAAACAGAGAAATGTAACAAAGAGTAACTGGGAGCTGAGGTGAGGGGCATATTTTAGCTGGGGCAGTCAGGGAGGTCCTCTCTGAGGAGGTGACATTTGAGTTGAGACCTGAATGATAAGAAGGAGCTGGGCATAGGAAGATATATGTCACTGGATTTTGCTGGAATCCCCTGGAGAGCTTACTGATACCTGGGCCCACCCCCAGAGATTCTGGTTGGATTGGCCTGTGGTTTGGCTCAGGTATTAGACTTTTAAAAAACTCCCCAGGGGATTCTAATGGGTATTCAGGATTGAGAATCACTGATCCAGGGAAGAGTTCCAGGCAGAGATAACAGGGCTCTGAGGCAGGAATGTGCTTGCCATGTGTCCTAAAAATAGAAAAGAGGGCAGATGGAAACTGGTTCCTTGGAAAGAGGGTAAAATGCAGAAATGATATAAGGAGCAGCACAAAAAAAAAAAAAAAAAAAAAAGGGATGGGGATGCAGTAATGTCTCCAGGAAAATAAGGAACTGACTTACATATTGGGCAAGAGGAGAGAAGAGTTGGAGAAAAAGTAAATAGCCAGAACTGGAGGCTTTAAAAGCTCTGCTAAGAAGTTGAGATTTGCCTAAACTCTTAATTTTTTTTTTTTTTTTTTTGGTCAGGGTCTTGCTCCGTTGCCTAGACTGGAGTGCAGTGGTGAAATCATGGCTCATTGCAGCTTCCATCTCCCAGGCTCAAGTGATCCTCCCACCTTGGCCTCCCAAAGTGCTGGGATTACAGACATAAGCCATAGCACCCATACAACTCTTCCTGAATTTAGTAAATATTTAGCTGCTAATCTTTCTTGAAGGTAATGCGTTCTTGAAACATACCCTCTGCTAGAAAGCAGCTCTGCCCAAAACAATTACTTTAAAAAAGTGATTATTTTCCTGAAAAAAAGGTGAAGAGGTGGCTACAGCTTCCACCCTGAAGTATACAACATATATACATATACTATGATGTATTCACACATCTACAGACACTCTTTCAGGTACACTCATCCACTATATCCATATGCACAAGAATGGCCACTGCAATATTGTTTATAAAACAAAACCATTGCAGTGACCAGCAGGAGGATATATGTTTAATAGTATACATGCATATATATTATACACACAAGTACATATTAGAGACAGGGTCTTGCTCTGTCGCTCAGGAGACATGGAGTGCAGTGGCACAATCATAGCTCAGTGTAACCCTGAGGTCCTCAGCTCAAGTGATCCTCCTGCCTCAGCCTTCTGAGTAGCTAGGACTATAGGCACGTGCCACCACACCCAGCTAATTTTTCATTTTTATTCTTATTTTGTAGAGACAGGGTCTCTACAGACAGTCTTGAGTATCTAACAGTGGTTAGCCCAAGTAGATACAGCTAGCAAGTGGTTGCCCAGGCTGATCTCCAACTCCTGATCTCAAGCAGTCCTCCTGCCTCAGCCTCCCAAAGTGTAGGTATTAAGGCATGAGCCAACACACCTGGTGGCATTGCTTCCATACTATGCAATGCTGTGCAGACATTAAAAAGGGATGTGTAAAGTTGTCCAAGATACATGGTTAAGGCTAAGAGCAAGCAACAGAGTCAAACCCAGAAACATTCTATTTTTTTTGTGGGGGCAGAGGGAAGGGAGGGTGAAGAGGAGAAACCAAACTCTAACCTCATGTATTTTTGAGCATCAAGGAAAAATCTGGAAGGATATCAAAATGCTGATTGAAGACTGGGAAGAGGAGAGAAGCAGAGAAAGTTACTTGCTACTTTATATATTGGTCCTTGAATATTGTTTATGGATTAATTTTGGGGAGTAAAAACAATTTTATAAGGGGGCTCTATAGAATGTATTACATAAAAATAATACATGTTACATAAATCAAAGAGCTGCTGCTATAGTTTTGGAACATGATCTAAAGGTATTAGAAAAGTTCTTAAAATGACAAAGGTAACTTACAGTGGATCTAAAAATGGTGCAAAGCTCTGTACCCTGACATCAACAGTCAGGGCCTGAAGGGGTCAAATCAAGAAATGGCATGAGAACGAGGTGGAACCGCCAGTAGTAGACACTTGCTGCCCCCCGCCAGTGGGGTGGGGTGGGAAGCCACCATTGCTCTTCATAACAGACTCATCTTCACTACTTCATCCTAGAACTATATGCCTGTTTGGCTGTGGTTAAACTTTTTTAAAAATAAAGCTACCATTAACCTCCATTCCTAGGAGAAGATACACAATGGGATTACAAAGCAGTGAAAAAGAACAGAGCTACGTGGATGAACACGGATCAAACATGGATAAATCTTACAACGTTATATTGGGTGAGAAAAGCAGGTTGTGGAAGGATTTGTATATGGTATCATTCATGAAAAGTCTAAGGACACACACACAGCATTGTACATTGTTTGAGACATCTGCATATGGGATGAAATAATAAAGGTACGTGTGGGAAGAAGCTCCAGGATATTGGCTACCTCCAGGGAATGGCTCAGGCCAGGGGAGGAATGAGAGCCAGGAGGGTAGGTCAGGGGCTCCCAGAGTCTCATGTTTGGAAGTGTGTGTGGGGTGATTATGGTACCTGCCTCTCGAGGCTGACAGGAGGGTTAAAGCTCTAATAGATGTGAAGCTCTTGCCACAGTGTCCTGTGCACAGCCAGCTCTCTGTCACCATTCAACTAAGAATCAGGACTGTCTTGGTGGCGAGGCAGATTTTCTCCATGTCTGAGAGCTCCCCTCCTTATCTGTCCTCCTCAGTGGCCACTCCTTGGCTGAGTCTTCCCCGACCTCTGCTGGCTCCACAATGCCACATGACACACCTGCCTCTAAAGCTGCCACCCTGCTCCACCGGCAGGCAGTTAGTGCCAGGTGGGCCAACAAAAGCTGCCCATCCCTCCAGCCACAGGGCTTCAGTCACACCCAGGTATCTAAGGGAGAGACCTGGGGGCCTGGGCCAGGGTGGCAGGGGTGGCATCCAGTGACGCTCAGTGGCAGCCAGGACACAGCCACTGGGTGGACGTGGGGGGTGGGAGGGGCAGGTGACCCCACCCCTGCTGGTCTCTGGTTTGGGCAGTTGAGGGAAGGGTACAGAGAAGGCCTGGGCTGGGCGAAAGGCCGAGTTCAGATATGGGCAAACTGTGTTTGGGGTGCCTGGGGAGAGCCATGAGGAAGGACTCTGAAATTCAGAGCTGCGAGCGGGAGGGTGAGACGGGTGGGGGCCACGCAGGCCCAGGCGTGTTTTCCAGAATCTGGCGCCCAGGAGTCAGGCTCTACCCAGGAGCTCCCGGCCTGCGCAGCTCCACAGGGCTGAGAAGCCACAGCCGGGACCCCGAGGTGCATCTGGCTCCCTCTGGCAGGCACCCTCTGAGCCCCAGGTGATTCCTGCAGGCATCCACAAGCTTCACCGACTGAGCAGCTAGTGTCTGCGGAGACTGCCAGCCTCAGCCCCAGGCAAAAGCGTGTTTCCCTCGAGTGGGCACTCAGCACCGGGCTTCCCTCCAAGGCCAAGGCAGCACGTGTGGGTGGCAGCGGCTCCTCGGGCTCCAGGCAACTTGTAATGAATGAACATACGCTCTTAGTATTATGAAATATCTTAGCTCAGCTGACCGTCACAGCAACTTCCACAAGTGGACATTATACCCATTTTACAGATAAGGAAGTGAGGTCCCCAAACGAATAAGCCATACATCCAGAGCTGCAGCCAAGGCCTTTGTATTTTTGGGTCAGGTCCATCTTTTCTTTCCCCCACACAGATAAAATTATTAATGAGAAGCATACATAGTGGTTTAGAGCAAGTATGCACAAACCGTTCCTGTAAAGGGTCGGATAGTCAATATTTAGGCTCTGCAGGCCCCACGTCTCAGTTGCAACTACTCATTACTGCCATTGTGGCTTGAAAGCCGCTATCGGGAAAATGAATGGGCATGTCCGTGCTCCAGTAAAGCTTTATGTATGGATGCAGTTTTAATTTCATATATTTTTCACGTCATGAAAATTACTCTTAAAAGCTTTATTGTGGTAAAAAACCACGAGCGGTATGCTTTTT